CTGTTTTTTTTTTCTTCCTGTCGGCCTGTCGTTTTTTCTCAACATTACCTATCCCTTCCCCCCCCCCCCCCCCGCCCGGGGGGGGGGGGGGGGGGGGGGGGGAGGCAGTAGACGTGCCTAGATAGGGCATACATATCAAATATCTCTTCCATTGTGTATGCCCCGGCTTGAAATGTTTGGTCCGAGCGTTATCATTGCTATTTACGAGTCGAAGATTGCTAGAGAGGGGAATGTTGACGGTTGGAAAGTGAGGTATCATCGTCTGGTCACATCATACCTATGCGAAAGTCGCTAGGTACCATGTAGTTGACAACTTTGCCTATCCATATATCGGCAAAATGACTAATCATTATAGTTACCTCAGCTCGTGGCCCCATCAGAAAGCCATGCCAGGTATCTGCAAGAGCAACTTCATTGTCCGATTGGGATTGCATGGGATGCTGCAAGTACGGCAGTGACATTCGTCCTGTCCGGTGCTATCTGAACGACCTGTCACAAAGTAGGGTTCTCCAAGTAACGCCTAAAATTTTTCCATATCCAATTGTTTTGATTATTGTGTATGTAGAAGTATTCGCTTGGCATTAGCATGTGACGCCAAAAGTATAAGCCTTTTTTTTTTTAAGTGATCTAACTATTAATCGATCAAGATTATACATATACTACTAAGCCCAGCCTAGCCCAGCTCAGCCCAGTCCGCGTAATCATTACAGGGCATTATTATGGCCTTGGATTAAATCAAACGGAGTAGACATGGACTTTGTCCAGGGCATAACCAGGGGGTCTTGGGATTATACCCTTTGTTAAGACTGGGTAGTAGATATTATGGATAGGGAGCAAGCAATTATGGCTAAATTTTGGCTAAAACCCCCTTCGACAGTGGCGAATGACAAGCTTGCGCAACATCAAAATGCCAAAAAGCAAAAATTCAACGAAAACAGATTGGCTGGAATGTTTGGTGGAGGCGGCGTCTCAGACAAGGTAGGTATCCGGAAATAGAAATTAGGAAACGCAAACTTGCTGCTGGAGAACTTTCGGTCAGGAAAGGATAGTCCGGAACCTACATAGTAAACAATGATTGGATGTGTTCTAGACTTGCGTCGGGACAGGGCATTTTAGGTCTGACTACGCACAAAGAAAAACAAAACAAAACAAAAAAAAAATACAAAGAACAACTTTTCATTGTTTAATTGTCTCTTGGGATCCCGCACCGAGATACCTAGCCAGGCTGGCCAAGGCAACAGTTATGTGTAAGGCTGTTGGCTGTCTGTGGTTGGTTGGTTCGGCTGCACGCACACGCGCACAGTCACACACACAATGCATCCCATCAGCCGGCTGCTTGCGCAGAACTCGTGGCAAGTCAAACGTGGCCAGCGCCCGAGTAACCACGTGAGGTGAAGGTGGGTAACAGACGCCGTACCTGCTTTGCCAACCTGGACTTTGGGTCTCGGGAATGCTTATCGGTGTGGTGTAGGTGACGGTGGTGCATGGAGTTACAACAACAGCATCATCGTCACAGTTGCCACAAACTACTACCCTCCAGTCTGAATTCCTGGTTGGCTCGCACTTTCAACCTCTCTCTACTGCTCTCTCTCTCTTGCTTTGTCCCTCTTCGACGTTTTCCCTGCGAGCGAGCGTGCGTGCGTAAGCTCCGACTTGGTATATGCCTGCTTGTTGAAATTGTGTTTGTAGATATCTGCATCCCCTTATCCGAAAGCCAGCTGTCGGCCAGCGATCTGCCTCCAATGCATCATGCATGGATGGCTGTGTGGTATGCGTACATACATATCTTGAAGGTATCTGCTGCAGATACCATTGCAATCAAACAGGATGATCAAATTTGGGATCTACTGGAACGGGCCATCTGCCTTGCCTAGGTAGCCACCTATTGAAATGCCGAACTCAATGCTGGTCTTGGCCGGAGCCGTTTCCCGCCGTCTTGGAACCGAGCTTAGCGGTTGCCGACCTGGCTGCGTCTCGGACGGCCACATGGTCGAGCGGATGTTTCGTCACAAATCAAACCTGTGTCCGGGAACAAGTGTACCTGGAAAGGGAATCAATCCACTTTGACCTCGTTGGGCACGCTATGGTTACCTATCTACCGTCTCAATCCGACTCATCTCAATACTACCTATACATACAATACGCGCAGGTGGTTTTCCGAGCTTGCGACCTCATCTAGTAAAACAATGGTGAAGACCTAGTACTTCTACATGCTTATTCGTATATGTATACAGAATGAGCATCCCTGACAAAAATGAGCTCCTTCAGGGTCCAGCTGATCGCCAACTTATTGCCCATAGCGAAAATGAAGCAACGCACTGGCTTATCTCAACAGGGCAAAAGATCCGTTGATGTCGAATGGGATGGATACCATTGCAAGGGCTAAGCACGAAATAGGACATGCGAAACAGGTAGATATGTCTTGCTAAACAAGCTTCAGTACAGATTCAGTAGTCGTAACCGCAGCAAAAGTCTACAATGTAATAACGATGCCCCGATGAACGAGTCATCTTCGGGAGCTCCTTTGAAATTATTTGCCGACTTCTTGTTTGCTAGCGAGGCCAAACGGCACCACCGTGGTATCTTGGTGCATACCTATTTCGGTGGTGACAGCGTGCTGTGCTACAACGTTGTGTTTTTTGTACATGGTTGCCGAACGATCGATCCAACACGTGGATTCGCTTCTCTTCGCCGAACATGAAAAGTTTTTAATATCAGTTGACTGCGATGGCAATCACATACCCTAAGTACACTGCAGGAACATAAGTACGTACGATGTAAGGTATGTATGTAGGGGCGTATACCAAGATGTATACATGGACGTAGACCGCCAGTCTTATTCATCCCGTCCAGAATAGTCACGAGCCTTTTCCTGAGGAATTCCTGCATTGATGAGGGGAGCTGATGGACTAGCAGGAAAAAGCTTAGCGGCTCTCCAAGTCGAAATACGGCGCAGTAGCGGTGCACTACAGCGGCGTAGCAGCGCCTGGGCGGGCTCGGGTGGGTGGGTCATAGCTCAGGCCCTTGACGGTGGTGGTATGGTGCCTTTCTCATTTTTGTTTGGGCGTTCAAGCGTTCGAGCGTTCAGACGTTTTGGCCCAGATCAGGGCCCACGAAGCAGATGAAGAGAGGTGTGAGCGGGACCAGGGGGTCCCTGAAGGTCCAAAGCCACGAGGTGCGGGTAGTGGTGCGTCGGCCGGGTGCGTGCTAAGAGGAGACATTCGCACATTTCCGTTGGCTGGACCAGCTTGCCATCTGGGCCGCCGGGGAAGGCTGATCAAACGGAAAGCAACTTAGCGAGGCATCACTCGTTTGCGTCACGTTGCGCCGCGCCTGGGAGATGATTTGTTGGGACATTTTTAGCAACTCTGGTAGAAATAATAAGAAAATACCTGGTCAGGCAGGCAGGCAGGCAGGCAGGCAGGGAAGGGACCAAGAGTTCATAGGACAAAGAACGAAAAGGCGAGAATATACAAAAGAATCTTTATACCATGACCCATGACCTTTCCCGTGCCATCATACTAGGTATGTAGAGGCCACTCACGCGGAGATTGGCAGGAAGTACCTATCTTTCTCTCCAGAGCCATCTTTGTGATGTTTAACATGATATAGCCTACTGATGCTGCACATGCATCCACACCGTAGGTACTTGAGGCCATTCGAGATTTGCTACCTGCCACACTACTACGCTCCCTCCCTGCCTTGCCTACTTATATCCCTACACTCCTTGATACTTAGGTATGTATAGGTAGGCCAGAGTAGGCATACAAGGCCATCCCCCCTAAAGTCTTGTACGTAGTATCGAGCGGGAACCTATCACCTATGTATTTGCCTGTTGAAGACTCACCGCAATCAGTTGCACGTTTTCTAATGTATGCTGCATGCAGGGAAAGCTAGGTTAGGCCCGGTAAATGAAGCAGGTTACGACGATACCAACGGGTACATAGCTACCTCCAAGTTACATTCTGGTAATAGCCGAGTTACCTACTTCTCGTATCATTGGCATCTGGCATCCCTTACTGTATGTTGTATATACGAATTGCTCTCCTATACCTATATGTATCTTCTTTAACATACCTAGGTAGGTAAGAGTGGTGTCCTGGTAACAAACAGGGATCTATGTCCATGTACCTACCCTACTGGGGGTACAGATACAGGTGGCTTGTCGCTGACCCTTCATTGGCTTCGTTGGACATCTGTCTGACTTACATGCCTGCCCAGTGTAATCTTATCTTGTCTACTTCCAGGTTCGAATTACCTTTGGAACAATTCCACAGCCAATCCACGGGGTTTTCTAGTTTCTTCTTGCTCTTCACCGCGTGTTCCATTCGATCTTCTGTCGAGGGCAAGTTACCTTACTTACATAGGTATTTACCTAGTGGCCTAGAGTATACTACCTACTTCCTACCTAGGTACCTAGGTACTTACCTACCTATTAGTGCTAACCCGAGGTTACAAGGTGCTGCGCTACTGTACACTACACCTATAACAACTTACCGAATAGTCACTAAAACCTTCCAGCCAGCAGCTGTGTTGCAGTAGCAGCCTTTGTCGATCCTCCGTTGATTGTCACTGAACCGCCTCTACTACCTACGTACACTAGCACCATTACAACCCCCATTCTTCTCCTCAACTACCTAGTCCACTTACCTACATAGGTTAGGTATTCAGATTGGCTGCTGATGATTGATGGATGGATGGATAGATGGATTGATTACCTATTATTCACTCACTCACGCACTTGCTCGCTCACATACGCACACCAACTATCTACACTATCTACGACGTCTGTCTGTCTACTCGATACTCTTCATTCCACCACAAACCGCACCATAACTGCCTGCTTGACCGCACACAGCCAGCCAGACAGCGAGCCAGCTGCTTCAGGGTTGTCTGCTACGTACCCAATCGCTGCTGTACTTACTAACTCATAGCACACCCCCCTGGACATCCTGCGTGGTATTGACACAACATCCATGCTTACCCATCTCCTCCGTTTCACCTCTGCTCAAATCGACCTTTCGTTGCTGTTCCTGTCATCGTCCACCCCGGTCCGTCTGCGAGTGACCTGATCAGCAGCTGCCGAAGTGGAGTTCGAATTGGACTTCTACTATCTCGTTCTACCTCGCCTCGTCGTCGTCTCTCATGCCTTGTCCAACTTAACCTCTTGCGATCCCATCTTTACGTGTATTCTCCTCGACTCTTGACAGCCCCATTGTTGGACTTGCGCCGCTCACATCAACCACCACACCCCCCGCACGACCGCCTCTTCGGGTTGCACGCCGACGCCGACGCCGACGCCGCCAACGTCAAACACGCAGTCCAGATGGGCAACAGCCAAGGCAAGCCCGTTGATCTCAACGGCGAGGGTATGCAAATGCTCCCTTACCTCTCCCTCTTAGTCTCTATCTCTCCATCGTTCCTCTACAAAGAAGATATTTCTTGGTCTCATTGACTGAAACCAATCCATTACCCCCATCGCATTCTGACTCTTGGAGTCTTTCCGCATGCTAATTCAACATGGTTACCACGTGTAGTAAATCTCAACCACTTTCGATTATTGCGAGTAGTTGGTCGAGGCGCTTTCGGTAAAGTACGAATCGTCGAGAGGAAAGACACAGCATTGTCATTTGCCCTAAAGTATATTCGCAAAGATGAGGGTCGGTTGCTCCTTCCCTGCAGTGTATCAAATTGTTATAGCTCGACTTGCTGAAACCTTGGCCATGTTATTAGTCGTACGGTCCGAAAGCGTTCGAAATATTATCCGAGAGCGACGCATGCTCGAGCATGTGAACCATCCCTTTATCTGCAATTTACGTTACAGTTTCCAAGATATCGAATACATGTACGTCCCAAATGCTCAATCATCCAAATAATTGATCGTTTGCTAACCTACACAATCTTGGCAGGTATCTTGTTGTCGATCTAATGAGCGGAGGCGACTTACGATTTCACATATCACGAAAGACGTTCACTGAAGAAGCCGTACGGTTTTGGTTATCTGAATTAGCGTGTGCATTGAGATATGTCCACGGACAAGGCATTATACATCGGGATGTGAAGCCTGATAATGTATTGCTAGATGCTGATGGCCATGTTCATCTTACAGACTTTGTGGGTGGCTTCCCGTCTGACTACGACATTTTTGCGTGCTCTAACATACCGATAGAATGTAGCATCCGACATTATACCAGGTAAAATGCTCACGAGCAAGTCAGGGACCCTAGCGTATCTTGCGCCAGAAGTCTACGGTGGGAGAGGATACGACGTAAGGGCAGACTGGTGGTCACTCGGTGTTTTATTCTACGAGTGCATATATAATAAGGTAAGCAGGTGTCCTGATATGTCTAGACTCAGAAGTACAGCGTTAATATTCCTAGCGACCGTTTGAGGGCAACTCGGAAACGTCCTTAACTAACGTCATCCTTCACGCCACGGCCAAATTCCCCATTACCCAGCCAGCCGTCTCACCCGACTGTGTGCACGCTATAAAGTCAGCATTGGAACCAAATCCAGACATTAGGTTAGGTCATACATGGGAGAGTTTTACTCAGCATCCATTCTTCGCTATGATCGATTTTATAGCGCTAGAGGCCAAGCAAATCGAGCCCGTCTTTGTCCCATCGGCCGATAAAACTAACTTTGATGCTACCTACGATCTTGAAGAGCTCTTATTGGAGGAGGCGCCCCTCGAAGCCCGAGCACGGAGACAGAAACCCAGGGAGAGGTTAAAGGACGACGCCACTGAGAAAGAGATTCGAGAAGAGGAGCTTTATCGCACTATTGAGCGAGATTTTCATTCATTCGACTACACAGTGGCCGCCTACAAGAAGTATGCATCTTCATTCACCCCCCTTTTTATATATCTAACACCCTCGGCAGGATGACCGCCAGTCAAGGCGAAGAGGAAGCTAACCAAGCGGCCTCTATTGGGCAAGCGAGCACCGTCCCTCAAGCCCTCACTACCAACGATGCAAGAGCAGCACCGCCATCGACAAATGGGAACTTTCAGTCATCGACAGATCCAAGGTCTAGGTCCCTCTCGCAAGGTGGTCGTTTACTTAGGACCACGAGTGGTGCACAACCACAGCCATCCCAACATATGCCACCGAATTATAAAGTAACACAGCAGAGCGGTTTAGTCCAATCACCTACGGGCGGAATGTCTTTCACCTTGGAGGGGACTGGAAGCTGGTCCGATCTAGCTCGGAGGGACAACACACTACCCACTGACGCCAACGCCCTTGGCGATGAAAAAGCTGGAGGGTCCAGCGGTGTGTTCGGTTTATTTGGACGGAAAAAGAGGGGCTACAGCCCTAAACCAAAAGAAAGGGGTGTCTTAGGGAAAGAAGGGGCACGACAGATTGTCGGTTGATCTTGAGGCTGCATAGGGACTGGGAAAGAGGGGAATTACCTGCTTTGCAACGCACTTCTGGAGTTCAGGGGTGACATACATTGGCGGGTTGACGGTTAAGGACGAATCTTTTTGGTTTCTATTATGGGTCCTTTTGTACATGGAGATATATACCCCTTTGCTTTTTTTTTTCGGTCCTTCATAACGTAGAAGGCCAGGGAAATAAGCATACATGTGGAGTGGCCGGCCATTGATTTCCGGGAAAGATTACATATCCACCTATATAATCTGGCACAATAATCGCATATACTTTGGGGATGGCTGCCTAAGCTATGGTTCTTGATGTCCTTTTTTCCCCATTTGCTAGTGTTTTCATAGGGTGTAGCGAGTTAGTCATGTTTTCGGCATTGTGAAAGCCTTGGAGGTATTGTTTCGAGTAGTCAGTTTATAGGAATGTATGCTAGATCTTGGAGAATTGGGTAGGTAGTATCACTGAGGATGTGGACAGGTTACTTTTGAAATACGGGGTGAATTCTGCCTTGCGTCATTTGGGCATGTGGTAGGTTTTTGAGTGTTTGTTTTGTAGGATATATTAACGAACTGCTGTTCTTAATTATATATATATATATATAAAGAGAAAGAGAGGGGGGGCACAGGACGTGAATGGATGGTTTTGCCTCATGGTGGTATGTATATGCTGATTGATTACCTGCCTTTGAGTGTCAAGATGAGGTGAGGGGTTGAAGCCCTGAGGTTATAGAGGTTCGAAATAGGTTCAGGGGCTTATGTTGCGGTTCATTTTCTTCTATAATTTTTCTATATTTGCAATCGGCATCTTATATATGTTCTGCGCGGTGAAGAGGGATTATTGTTTCTCTATTCGTAACTCTTTGATTTTGCCATATGTCGGGAACATCTCCTTATATCACGCATGTTTTCAATCTTGCACTGATTTACAAATCTTATTTCTCCCAAGGCTTGGCGTTCTCCTCGCAAGCCTATTCATTGAAGTTACTCGACGAGAATACAGGTAAGGCTAGTGTAAACTGAGGTCTAGGCTAGCAGAGAAACACGGCCTAGTTAGCTAGATCGGATATGATGCTACTGACCATCCTGTCTTTCAAATGAGTTTTCGTCACAAGTATCATAGACTACGGAGGGAGTGAATATGGAGTAGGCAATATCCTTAAGTATGGCTTTGTGTAACAGAGCCATTCTTGATCATCAGCACCACACTGACTCAGCCTCAAAATCTTAGCAATCATGCCATGAACCCTCTTTCTGCATCTGACATTCTACTGACCACCATTTTCCGTATTCCTGATTTTCTCATCACCAAATGTGACTCGCCAATATGAAGCTCTACAGGTACTTGCCACTAGAGGATGACACTTTTATTCGCCTGATAACCATCCTGCCTGGAAAGTTCAAAGATCCCATTAAAGCTGAGATCAGACATGAACCGCTTCTGCCACCAAAAGAAGTTGGAGCCACACATTTGTCAATTGAAGAGATCCAACAAACTTTACCAGGACAATGGAAGGTATATGAGACCTTGGAGAGCCGTATCATTTATTACGACATGGAAACAAGGCAGACCTCGTGGACTCACCCAGACCCTAACTTCAGCCATGTCCTGTACGAGCCGATATTAGATGGCAAGATAGACGTGCCAAATCTTGCCTACGAGGCTCTGTCGTATGCATGGGGTTCCACCGAGAAGGACGAGATGATCGAAATCAGTGGCACTGGTAACTGCCTGCATTCTAGATTGCCTGTCACATCTAACCTAGCAGTTGCACTGAGACATATTCGATTCGATGATCGGCCGCGAATCATTTGGATCGATGCCGTCTGCATCGACCAGGAGAACGTTCAAGAGCGAAGTCTACAAGTCCAGCGCATGGGCGAGATTTTTTCACTGGCCAGCGGTGTTGTGGTATGGTTAGGGCCAAGTTTTGCGGGCAGCAGTCTTGCGTTGACCGCTCTGAAAGAATTGGGCGAGCAGATACAAATCAGTAGGAAAAATCTCAGCTTTATGCCTTCGCCTTGCTGTAACCACCCAGATTGGTACCAAAACCTGCTAAAGCTGATAGATCGGATGAACGAAGTGACTGCGATTGCCCAGTTATGCGAAGTACCGTACTGGACAAGGCTTTGGATCGTACAGGAGGTCGCACTAGCAAGTGAGAAGTCGATCGTCAAGTGCGGCCATGAAGAAATACCGTTGTTTTCCTTCCGTCGTGCCATCATAACCTTCTATGGAAGAGAATCGAAAGGCTTGTTCCTGGCGGTTGAGGAAGTGCATCGGACCATGCACCTGTCAAAAAATGCAACTTTATTTACAGTATTGGAAGGGCAGCACCGCAAGAGATGTACTGATGCTAGAGACAAGGTGTTCGCATCTATAAACCTGCTGAACCCGGATATAAGAAAACGTATTGATGTCGACTATTCGAAATCTACACTAGATGTGTACAAGCAGGTATTCCTACTTTCTCTGGAGCAAGAGAAGCGACTCACCCAACTGATGTTGGCTTCTAACTGTTCCGTCTCTGGCTCGCTATGGCCGAGTTGGCTTCCGGATTGGTCATTGACCCCCAATGATAGGCTCTCGACCTCATCTTCCCTGCCGAGTGCCAGCAGTCTCTCAGCGGCATGGGCGAAGTACACGGCACCGGATAGGATCGACGCTGCTGGGGTCTTATTTGGACGTGTGTCTACTACCAGCCAGCTTCTGGATGCCAATGGTGTTTTGAACATTTTAAGTTTCTCCAAAAGCTTAGGACCTGAAGATTCACAAACATCAACTTATCCTAACGGTGAACCGCTCCTAGATGCCTATCTCAAAACTATATTTCGTGGTTATTTGAAAGAAAACTTTCCTGAACAGGATTTTCCCACACTGTCGGAAGTAATAGAGGTCACGAAATCATCGCTCCATCTTGACTATTCAGACCAGTTGCTCCTGGCACGAGGGTTCTTCGCGAGACACACAAGTTATGCACCTGATCGCCATCTATTCACGACGTGCAACGGCTATGTCGGCCTATCCCAAGGACCAGTGTGTCCAGGTAAGTTAGCATAAATCTATGACACTATTTGATTTCACCAAACTCACAAGCTGTTCCAGGAGACGAGGTGTTCATCATTCTCGGTTGTGATAGTCCAATGCTATTAAGGCCACACTCGAATGGTCAGCATGAAGTTGTAAGGAGTTGCTATATACACGGTGCTATGGATGGCGAAGCGTTGCTCGGCGTGATCCCGGATCCATGGGAGGTCAGACGATGCCACAACGATGTGCGCCTCTTGGCAATCTACTTCTACAATACCGACTCTGGTATGGAAACGGAATACGATCCCCGGTTGGAGAGCATCCCAATACCCACGGATTGGGAACCTATCGAATTTGAGTGGACTCCTGCCGATCCTATCAACTGTAGGAAGTTTCGGAACAAAGATACAGGAGCGGTTATCAATTCGGACCCGAGGCTGTTCCCGGAAGCATTATTAGAACGCGGCGTCCCGATCAGGACTATCACCCTTGTCTAGATTCACCCTCTGCAGTTGTCTCCTGCCACATCTCAAAGGTCGAGCCGCCTACGCCAGAACTATTGGTGCTACTTTGGGAAAACCGGGCTTTCGAGGTTACAAATTGAGGGTTGTTGTCGTCTCATCTGTACCTTGTTTCGGCTTTCTGTCATAACGTGAAGACATACATTGAAAGATGAGACACACACAATTTATATACCACGGTCGTATGGTATCCCAACTTCGTCTTCCACCTCTTAGGAGATATACCGGTATTTCTATGACTTGTTGACGACTCCGTAGCTGCTACTATCAATCTGGACGAGACGACTTCTAAATCATCTTAAGAAGACCCACAGGTTATTCAGATGTCCTTTCACTCGGATGTTACTTATCATCCCTAAATTCTTTATTGTGGTGGAGCGGGTCAAAGTTTTCATGTTGGTATAGACTATACTTTATGCATTTTTTTAACCTTATTCGTTGTATCTGTAAGGTCAGGTAGTCACTCCACACACACACACATATATATATATATAATTAACCTATCAAGAGAATATCATTTTTGCGTGTAAGCGAGAGAGCAACTATAATGGGTACACTTCAACTCCTGCAGTTCCACTGATACTGGCAGTCATCCAACACCCTCAAGGCTCGTCTAGAACCATTTACATTGTATGCGGCAACCCGGAAGAATCTTCCAACAATGACCCATACTGATTAACTTTAACTACTACGTTGAGCCTTAAGCTGTGCAGGAAAATATCGCCTATGAAGTCTCATCTTCTAGGGTATATCGAAAGTCGTTGAGTGACAATCTCAGGAATATGAAGAAAAGCTCGGGAGAGAGTAACCGATATTCTTTAGACTGACTATTCAGAATAGCTAGCCTAAGTGCCGATATTATATGGGCTTAACCTCTGAAAGTTCATAATGTATATTACTTTCACGAACTTCTGCAGCAAAATCCGGATATCTCGAGTCCCTGTTTGGGCTTGTAGGTATCTAAGTGCTATATACGATATAGTTCAATAAGTTCCCCTAGCCCCCAGATTCACCACGTTGTTTATCAATAGACGCATGTATATGCCCCCCTACGCAGCCCATGTAAGATACAGTAACATATCAAGCAGTATATACCACAAGAAGACTAGACTCGCAAACTATAGCCCAGCCAACACGCCCATACAGCCTGTTTCCGTGATGTACAGACAAGATCCCCGCATGAGATGCAGAATCTGTATGCAGCTTTCCCTTAGCTCGAGATATATTCCTCGCCTAATAGACTCTTGAAACTTGGACAAATATGAGGTACCCAAAAGACATATCTTGAGCGCACCTACTCACTCACACCAAGCCACCACCCTACCTAACAGGATCCCCGAGACGATCACGCTCACCTGACCTGCAAGTCATGCATGAATTCACACGCGCGGAGTAGTAGTAGAGGCAGGAGCATGAGTAACGCCACTGGACACCCTTCTTTTACGTCAGCACATTGCATGCCGACTCTCCACCTGACTAAGGGGGGTTGGCTAATCATTCGAGTGAGATAACTACGGGGTGAATACTGTTTACGACCTATGTAGACCGCATAACATGCGTATTTTTTTCTTCTCCGAGGACATGTGTGCCGTAGAAGCACAGATGCAATGTAAGTACCTCATAACCTCAACAGTATCATCTCGGCCAGAACGATCTGTCAGTCAAACTATAGCCATCCATGTATCTACACTACATACTGGCATCGTGCATAATTTTTTTTTTTTTTTTTAAAGGGTTCTATAACACCTGTACACAGCAAAGATCGTCAATGTAGGTATGTAGCCTAATATACGCCCCTTCATACAATAACTATACGTTCTTTATCACACATCCATGCCTATTTGAACTCTGGTAGCGAGTCTACAAATGCATTTTACCTAGAAAACAACATTTTCAAATTAATAAAAAAAAAAAAAACCTAGAAGAATGACGTCTCCCTCCGATGCTGGGCGAGCTAGTTTTTACATACGTACAAACTGAAAACGCAGTTCGCCTTGCGCTTCGGCCGTACGAAAGGCCATTGCAGGCTATCCATGATCTTCAAAGACATGCAGGCAATATTGGAAAGTGAGGTTATCCAGACTTCGCTCCATCAAACAAGTCAACGGGCAGACCAATTGTATATAGAGTCGAGTCAAACCACCAAGACGAAGAAGGAATTAGTTGGTTAAGGACTCGTGCGGCCCTAGTTGATCATTATATTGTCAAAAGCACTAAGTTCTAAGCCTAGATCTCTGCCCTTGTTATATAAGTATACCTGAGCCTACGAAGCAGAAAGCCAATGTCCAAGATCCGAGACGGGCAGAGAAACTTTCGACATGTACCCTGCATATACAACGTAGACAGACTCTTCAAAATTCGAGGAACCCTCGAAACACTCCTTTAAACGGCACACTTTCATTCACAATGGGTTGATTTCAGCCTTATGGAAGAAACATGATATCGTAAACCAGCCTGAAACACCTGCCCGATATCATGTCGAGTCACGGCTTAGATCTTCGATGGCATCTTGTTGATATTGAGTGACTAGCTAGTAAACTTCAGTCATTAGAGCTCGGCGACTCTCCTTCATATTGCAAGATTTAATAGCACAAAAACTCCGAACAAAAGCGAACAGGAGTCGACAATAGTGAGTGAATAATGCATATCAAAGAAAATCGTCCACAAACTCCCTGAGACTCCATTTCTCCACCTATTCCTCATATCATGTACCACATGTCGATGAGTGACATATAAAATTGCCCCCTATGTGTTTGTAAATGCATAGACGCCGAACAGCCAGTTATCTATGCATACCCGTTCGCCTGTTCCACTGAAGGGGCGGTTGTTCGGTTTGAGAAACTGGTTTTTTGGAAGAACCTCTGTCTGCGTAACTCCGATTTTGTCCTGCTCAAGACATCTTCCCTTATAACTGCCGGTATAGAATTCCGATGGCGCATAACGTCATTGCGTAAATAGTCATGCCCGTTATAAAACAGCAATTCCCTTCCCACTTCCCCTAATTCGACTCTCATAGGAACCAAAGCGCCTGTTCGTGTATGGTGGTGGCACAAGTCATAGACTTTATTAGAATCTTTGACAAAAAATGATAACATGTTGATAGATCAAGAGGAGTTCGGGCATGGTCCGCCCAGGTACTTTGTCATAATGGTTTTGAAATCTTTCTCATCGACAACAGCACCAGTACCTCCACACTTGGCCTTCTTTTGTAGGTCAGAACAAAGACCGTCAAGGTCGAGATCGCCAGCTTGCACCTTGGGACAGCCTTGTAATTGCTCCCTATTAAAGATGTTAATCACATTTCTATATCACTACACAGTGTGGGCCTAAGGTAAGATTTGGTACTAACCATATGTTGTTACACGTCATGAGTCTTCCATTGTCGACTTGCACGATAGTATCTTCGGTCTCCTTTCGGGCATCAATTTCAGCACAGATATCCTTTTTGGCCGGCTTAGGACTAGAGATTGTAGGCGCATTGAATGGGGCGAGGAAGTCCGCATCGAAGGCATCGTTGAAGAAGCTATCATCAAACGTAGTGTTGGCCATTATGTTGCTCTGTGGTTCACGGTAGTCACCAAATAATTGCGGGTCGAATTGTCCTCCGTTCTGGTGTGACAACCAGTCGAAATTGCTAAAATCGAGGTTGCCAATATTGCCTAGGTTCCCAAAGGCTATTTGATATGTTAGCGCGCGTATTCAGGACACTGAGTGACATAAAAAATACTAACCCGATATATTGTCGCTTGTCAGACTCGGCTGCTCCTCCCCAATAGTAGTCAAAGTCTCGAGAGGCTTAAAGCCCAGCGGCGACTGAGTGAAAGGCTCAGGGGAGGTACCACAAGACGAGCTTGGCCCCATAACTGAGTTGGAAGAGGAAGAGGGAGAGCCAGTGTTAGCCCCGTTGAGGCTGTATTGAGCTGAGTCTAAGCTCGTCCTAGAGCCGCTATTGCCATTGCCATTGATGCCGTCCAATGGCGACGAACTATTGAAGATGTCGGAATAGTTGACTGATTGGCCGATTAGGTCCTTTGCCGCTTGACCATCCGAGTTCTCACGAGTCTTAGAGCGGCGGTCAGAACTTCCATTCTTGGGTCGCTCTAGTGGACTGTTCTGGCTATTGGGACTGTGGCCAGATAGGGGCGATGGATACGATGGTGTTGGTTTTGCACTGGTGGCAGGTGTCGTACTAGGTCCCGGGAACATGCCAAATTTGGGGAATTCAAATTGGAAGTTGACATCATTAATATTCTGGATCGCGGCACTGCCGAACGTGGAAGCACCTCGTGTGGAGGTTGTCGATGAGCGCGACCTGCCAGACATGACAGCTATCTTTTTCTTATATTGTTCAAGCTCGACAGTCAACTTTTCTATTTGCGAGCGCAGCTGGCTATTCTCGCTACTAGTAGCACTAGAGGCCTTCTCTAATTCTTCTACCTTCGTTTCGAGGTCTTTTAGATGCTTCTCTTTTCGTTCTCGGAAAGCACGCTGGGCCGCACGATTCTGAGCCTTCCTCTTCTGGAGGAATATTAGTTATTGGTGCTATGGAAAATATTGTTTTTCTCGACTTACCGAGCTAGGTTCATTCGTAAGAGGCTTGCGGCCAGGTTTCTTAGGAACCTTCCCTTCGCTTTCCCTTCTTTTTGCACCACTCTCTACCTCGTCATCGTCGTCTTCATCAGGATGACTTCTCTTATCTGAAGTCTCATTGTCGGGAGAATTGGCCTTGGAGGTGTCTTTCGTGGTGTCACTTCCATCAGGACTAGAGCCGGCGAGATCTCCCATCATCCTGGCTTGTGTACCGCTTTGATCATCATTGGTGAAATCAAAATCGAAACTGCTGTCCGGCCCAATGTCATAGTCATAATCGAGGAAAGGACTGCCAGAAGGACCACTTGATTCATCAAAGGCAGTAGTTCTCTGATTCTGCACAGGTGACGTGGTCGGAGAATCAGTTGCCAGGGACTCTTGGTCGCGTTTCACATTGTTGGGTTGATTTGACGTCAGCGCTCGAAACAGCAGGTTCTGCTGCTGAGGCGTAAGAATGAAGTTAGGGAGGATATTGGGGCGAGCGGAGGCCATTGCGAAGACTTGACACTTTGGTAAGGCAACAACAAAGCCGTGTACAGGAGACGATGACTAGCAACGCGTGATTCCTCGTTGAAGCGAACACACAGGAGGGACTGCCCACTCCTGTGTCGAGGTCGCCACTTGAAAGATAGATTGCTAGCTGGGACGACAGCCGGTGGAGTGGCCAGGTATCAATTGTAGAGCAAAGAACGAGTCACGAAAGGAGACGATTGATGCCTGGCAGCAATGCTAGACCCAGGTTTGAACTGGGCTGAGATGGAAATACGGTTTACTTCTTCAATCCGACAACTAGCGACGGCTTGAGAGTAGTAGGGTGTCTCAGGTGTGGACAGGAGCAAGAAGGCGAATTTCGCCCCAGGGTATTCACAAGCTTGGATGGGGAAATGGACAAGGTAGGAAGTGGATAGAGGTCAGGAGAATAAGAAAGATAGCGGCCTGTCTGCCTCAGCTCTGGATCTGACGACGGATGTCGGTGGTTCGGTAGGCGGTAACTCTTGCAGTAGGACACCAGGTACCGTTGACGGCGTGTTTCGAAAGAGAGGGAGGGGCGATATCCTGCCCCGTTGACCGCTGTCAGGTAACGGACGAGACGGGGTTAGGTGACCTACTATGGAGACGGTCAATGTCAGACGAGGGAAAAAACCAAGCAGGCAGGTGGGCGGGCGGTGCAGCAGGCAAGCAAGCGTGTGCGTCTTCTGGACGTTGTAACTTGTGGTCAGAATGCAGTGTACAAAGGTGTGGCGGTTGGGCAAGTATCACAGTAGACGATGACGGTACCCCGACCAGATTCTACCAGAAGGAAATAGATGGGGAGAGGGTCTACGGTCAAGCATGCGGAAATCCGATTTGTAAGCCCATTCGGGGGACAGATTTGGGGCCAGAGCTGGTTGGTGAGAACTGTTGGAGCCAGGTGGGCGGGGGGAGGCCTTGGACAATGCGAGTGACTGGACGGGGAAGAGACAAGGGAAGAAGACCAGGCTTTTTGACTCTCAACGTCTGACTAGGGCAGACAAGGGACCCTCCCTCCTCGCCTCGGATATAGCGGGCTCGATAGGCCGGAGCGATGCGACGATGATCAATGCCCGCCTTTGGACGGCCGGCGGTGGTTGGTCTGAGTCTGGCTCATCTGGCTCGTCTGGATGGCGAGGATGGCTGGGCGGGATCAGCACCCACATAAAGGAGGGGTCACCCTCTTGTGGTGATGCCAATGGAATGGCGCTCTTCTGCACTGGTTCGCTTCGCACCACTATTCTGGAAGTTGAGATTACAAAACCTACATACACTACACAGTAAGTCTTCCAAGGTTGTGAAGTGCACACCTCAACATCGCTATTGCCTTGAGACATCTCGAGATCGTAGGTACAGTATGGGCAAGTACTTATCCACAGGATCTACATAGGTACCGACGAGCAAGTGATACCAGGATTAGGCCTGACCTGGCGAGCTGGCCTGATCTACCATCACGTTTCATCAGATACCGACCAGTACAGTAGCGCAGGTTACGATAGGTAACATCTTTTAGATACCTAAGTAGGTACAGTTAGTAGACACATAGGGGACTAGTACCTACGATACTCGATTAGGCAGGCCCGCCATCTCGTCTTCGCTGTCTTTGTCTACTACCTACCATGTAAGTACGAGTAGGTAGGTAGAGCCATGGTAGTGGTTGAGAGGTCCAAGTTTGAGAGATATACTTGGTATACTATCGTAAGTAAGTATTGGATACATTTTATCGGCTACCCCGTTGTATTTCTAGGAGGGGGGGGGATATTGCCTGGTGTTAATGACATGACTCTGAATCTTGTGGTCATCTATGATGATGTGAATGTTTAACACTTGGTCGCTGTGAAATAAGATCGAATTCCACCATTTCGTCGGTATGACTCAACTGAAACCATGCACTTTTGCTGAAGACGGGGTCTTACAAGTGGCCAAGTACTAACTAGAACACGGTGTCTATTCACGTGGCTACCTGCTTTTATCTTCAAGGGAAGGCGGCTCGCCTACTGTTGTCAGCATTGGGGGGTATTGCGCAATTGCCGTCGGGAGATGAGATTTCACTCTACCAATACTTAGATAGGATCGACTAACACTACATATGCTGCTAATTCTCAAAGTATACTTGGAACTGCTGCAGTGACCAACATATATGTAAATGGTAGCCGTCATACAGTAACTGTCCGGGTACTCGACAATATACAGAGCGTAGTTAGATAGTAGATACTGTATGAACCCCCCAATATGTGGCGGCTCGAGTGTCAGCGTCCCTCCTGGCGAGGCCCGACGTGCCCTTGTTCGTTCGCATTGTTTCTTAATATACATTGCGGATGCATGCTGACGGGAAATAGAAGCTTTCGATCACCGAGGAATCGACACAGTTTCTCGCGCATCACCTTTTAATACTCGCGCGCCACGCTAAACCTACTATAGCAATTGTTGGGGCGGTACGTACTGATACCCCCACAACGGTCCTTGGCATACCTAATCTAAACCTTTTCGAAGTATAACCCTTGTATCTCCCAACAGGACCTATGATAACCATTAGAAAAAAAAACATCTATAATGCGAAATAGTGGGCGTTATCTTTGACTTCGAAGGTCAGTTAAATAGGTAGCGAGGGTAGTAGAAGGGGTAGTTTCGTATCAAGATCAACAAGCAAGTTACTTTTTTAAGGCAGGTTAAAAACAAATTATAGGGCACTTCTAGAAGGGAACATTTTTATTAATAAATATAGTAGTAAGCTGTTCGTTATAAGAGTTCTGAACTTAAGAGATTAAAGGAAGGGTCGAGGGTGTGACTGTTTTCATAATCGCTGTCAAGGGTGTGTCTGCAACTAACCCAATTTGTATGGGAAAACAGGGAGGTTACAGATAGAGACCCGACAATTGCTATAGTAGGTTTAGCGTGGCGCGCGAGTATTAAAAGGTGATGCGCGAGAAACTGTGTCGCCGAGGAATAGCTCTGACGCACTCAGATTATAGTCTCTAGTCTTGGCACACAATTGCAGTGTAGCGTAAGTAGTAACATAAAACAACACTTTGCCCCTTATGAGCCAGACCGCTTGCAGACTTTGCGCAGTCGATGCCTATCGGGGGGTTGGTTGATCCGTTTTTCTCTCGGCTTCCGGACGTGTTCGGAGAGATCTGAACGTGCTCGGAGAGAAAAAAAGAGACCGTTACTGGCCGTTCAATGGCGATAGCCGAATCGAATCCCGCGGACTTCAAACACCTTACTCAAGGGGCTCGAAACAACATGCATGCAGTCGCTGTGCCTTAACAAATAAGAATCCGCGGGTTTAAATGCCGCCCCTTCGTCTAGAGCCAATCGGTAGATAAGGTAGCATTCCACTGATTGGGATAGATCTTAGTTCACGGAGCTTTTTTGATGTTGCGGAAGGATCGCTCAGCTCACCGAAGCTGGATGGACTATACATATAACATTATAAAGGTATCCCGACATAGTTATGTGAATATCTGAGGAAAATGGAAACCTACGATGTTAGATATGGACTCTACGCAGGCACACATTCTACAGTGACTAGGTAGATACGTAGGTACTGCTGAGCTACACTTTGCTCTACCTATGTTACTGTATGCTCTGCTATATCTATCTCAATAAGGTATCACGGGCATCAGTAATGATGGAAACTATCTAGGTGACTATATAAGAAGATATTTTAATACAATCTATTGATTTGTCTATTGTATTAAATTGTCTCAACAACATGATGGTGCATTTTGCCCCTCAGTTTCCACCTCACAGAGAGCTTTGTCCAGGAGCTGTCCAGGTGCTGTCGATAGGGCGCGCGGGCTAACCTTTAGGTAGGTACCTAGCTCGGTAGGTAACAACCTGGAAATCGCCCAAGGTTCCCCGCATTAACAGGATGAACCCTGACTGCCAACTCTTGCCGGCTGTCTGCCCCTCTGCCCGTCCCATTTAGGCTTTGTCGACACTAGCCACAACAGGTAAGGGGCTAGGAGGGGTTTGCTCTCGTGGGTTGATTCCTCTTTGACGCCCACACCAGGTTACATAGCCTGTCTCAGTGGTACGAGTTGGGCTGCACAACAGCGAATCATCATCATCATCATCATCAGCCTCGCCATCCAACACCAGTCGTCTCACATGGCTTGAACCGGCCCATCGAGAACACGACACGATATTCCAAAGAATCAACTAGTATCATTTACACTAGTATATCTAATTCATCGGCATCTGTAGAAAACTCAGAAAAGGAAGTGCGAGCCGAGCCCGGTCCCTCCGACTACCGGGTCCCCATCACAAACCCAAATCTACCGGATGAAACATCAGCTTGGCTTGTTGAGCCAGCTATAATAACCATGGATCTCGCGTACGACCACATTGTCGAGCAGTCTATGCCGAAGGATGAGGGCACCTCGAGCAACAACGGTCAATCATCGAACCGCAGGCCCGAGTCGACTCTCAATGAAGATCTTCAGGAGGCATACCGTGCTTTCTCCAGCAGCAGCTGGGGTAGTTGGCTTGGGGGCACTGTGGAGAAGGTAGTCAAGCAGGTATGCAATGAATCAATATCGTAGTACATTCAAACCAGCACCATGGCCTAACATGATTTGCTCCGTACCAGGGCGAGTCTGTATACCGAGAAGCGAGCCAGGAAGTCACATCTCTCGGTGCCGATGCCTCGAGGAGCTTCGCATCTCTGCGAGCCCGTGCCCTCTCGCTGACAACAGCACTACCCCCGGCACCAATTATAACGCAAGGGACGGAACAAAGTGGCGACAAGGACAAGGATTCCGAGAAGACACCGACAACATCGAGAGCACCCGGTTCTTCATCCGAAGACGCCCCGGCAACCAAGGATTCCGAGACGGTCATGTCCCGCCTGCGGAGCGAAGCTGCAAATCGCCTGAAGGACATTCAACGGGCCGAGGACGCGGCCGATGAGGCACTCCTAAAATTCGGCACTAACATTCGCGATTTCTTCCGAGATGCCATCGTCGTGCGGGCCGCCCCTGCGGGTGCCGAGGGAACGGGCAATCGCTTCGAGAGCAAAGACGACTCGGGAAAACGTGTGATCCACAGTTCACGATACGATGCACAGCTTCACGTTTTGCACACAACAGAGAAGAGCTTTACTGAGGACCCTGCTACGGCAGAGTTCGAAACGTGGACCAAGACTTTCGACGCCGACGCAAAGACAGATAGTATTAGTGCCGACCTTGCTAAATACCCCGAGCTACGGGCCAATATGGAGAAGCTTGTTCCGGATCGGGTGCCCTATGCCGATTTCTGGAAGCGTTACTATTTCCTAAGACACAGTATAGAGACGGCCGATGCTCGTCGTCGCGATTTACTGAAAGGTGGGTCTATTATGCCTGTTTAACTTGTTTATTACCTATGCTAATGGTTCATGATATCTAGCCGCATCTGCGGAAGAAGAAATTGGATGGGGTGATGAGGAGTCTGACGAAGAGTCTGAAGAGGGATCCGAGGAATCGTCAGAAGAGGAGGAAGAGGAGGACGAGACGCCTTCTAGCAAGCAACCTGCCAGCAAACCACCTGCTAGTAAACCCACACCCGCAACACCCGCAGACAAGATCCCCCGGCCCGGTTCGGCCGAGTCCTCAACAACCATCCACCCGCCCACCACCTCCAAATCGACACAACTGAAGCCATCTGAACCCCGTAAGTCTAACGATGAGAAGTCACAGGCCGACAGCGACACTAGCTATGATGTAGTGGGCGCTGCTTCTGGCAACCCTAGCCAGGCTCCCAGTCAGGCACCAAACAGTCCCAAGAACTCCCGCAAGGTTGAGGAAAGCGACGACGATGACGATGACGACGATAGTGAGGAGGAGGACAGCAGCGATGAGGAATGGGAGTAAACCTGGCGCGGTGCTTCCTTTACAGAATGTAGGTACGTGTGAAAGGGAGTAGTGTCGAGCGTAATATTTGGTTTCGATGGATTGCGGCTGGCGTCTCTTGGTTGTCCTTTGATGTTTGGATTGGGTAGGGGGCTGTTTATGATTCTACTCCCTTTTCCCGCGACTCTGTATATTCTCTTTACCACAGGCCTCGAATATTAGAAACACTGTTCACCGAATCGGAACCTGTGCTCGTCATCCGTAAGTCTTTTCCATGCAGCTATTTTCTGTGCCTTCCGCTGCGGATCACCTCCTCCTCCGTGAGACTTTTTCGAAACCATCTTCGTCTATCTCAGGCTGTGGCTTTTCTCTCGGAACCACGGGCACCAAAGCCGGGGCATCGTCCATGTCAACATCCTTGCTCCCACTTTCGCCATCGTCGTCCTCATTGTCGTCGCTGCCGCTCTCCCAATCGGTGTCCTGGTCTGGGTCAGCCGCGGCTTGCGCCACGACCTTCTTGCCCTTGGTGTCGAGCCAGCGCGCCCTCAGCTCCTCGACGAGCGCGAAATTGCCCGCGGCGCACTGGGTCCGGCACTTCATGATGCGGTCGGCGACCTCGGCCTCGGACTGGTCGTCGACGTTGGCCTCGAACTCGTCGAACATGACCTGCAGCAGCGTCTCCTCTATTTCTTCCGCGACGGGCTCCTCGGGAAGCTTCTTGCTCTGAGATTTCTGTGGCAGTGGGTTGCTGTTATTGTTGGCGGCGGTGGTGGAAGCTGCTGCTGCTGTTGCTAAGTCGACGAAACTGGGGAACATGTCGACGATGACGCCGGCTAGCCAGTCTCGCTTGTCGGAGGAGTCCGGGCCGCCCCAGTTGTTCTGCACGGCGATGGTGAGGGATTGCCATAGGTGCAGGGATATCGCGATGCCTTGTTCGAATTGCTGCTGTCGGCTTTCTGGAGAGGTGAGGGGGGTCCGGTGTTAGCAAGCTTTGCAAGCTGATATGTTGTATTGCGATGGAATGCGGCGCGAGGCGGGATGTGATGTGATGCGATGGTGGGGTTATTGGTAGGATATTGTAGGCAAGTGGAGATACATCGGATAATACAAGTCTTTGGCTGAGTTGATTTATTGTTTACGTACCAGGTGATGGCCCTTCTGTGAGGGAAGATGCCATTGTTAGAATTGTTTCTGGTGTCTATGCTATCTGTTTGCGATACCGTTTCCAAGTATGTAACTTCAATGACTTTTTTTTTGACCCCCAGGTCCCTCTCTCACCTATGCAGTTACGGTATCCAGATGGAGGGGCATTTTTTTTTGGCCCTTGTGGTGATTCTGCTGAGCCTCACCGCTTTGCGAGATGGATGTACAATGGGTCCCGCCGTCAATTCCCTAATTTGGTCACCTAATTGGTTGCACCCGTCTGGGGTAGGTATTGTACTCTAGGTACTTATTACCGTGACCTTGGAATGTGCCGATGCAAAATAACAATGAGGACTGACACGTATTCTTCAGAGCATCATGATGATCAGAAGCCTCTCTTCTCACTTTACCTTCAGATAGGTACCTAGTTTAGTATTACGTAGTAGGTAGCATGCATGCCACTTGTGATTCTGGTTTCTGTGCCCCTGGTGCTGGAAGTCATAGCGAGATGGCTGGTTCGCTATGAGCCGATCTGGTCTAGTGAGCTTGCACTAACCATCAGAAGATTCCGCTAAGCCTAATTTGTGCATACATGCTCTGGAAATGACATCACTTATAGTCCCCTATTCAGATCATCACGCATCGTTGGATGGCTAGCACCTGGTAGTGTCGACCGCCAGGGGATGCGTCGACGGATGGGCTGTTCCAGGTTTTAGACCGCCCAATAAAGCTTCCCTCGCGCCGCCGATGTGCTGAGGGACGTGTTTTGTTTTACTTTTACCGGCCGCCCTCAGAGGCATTGATACTCAAGTCCGCGACCATGAATACTGCTACGGTTTCTATGGCGGTCACGCCGACTGTCCTTTCGACCTTCCTATCACATGTAAGTACTACTTAAAACAGCCTCTCGACGTGCAACACTTGGCGTCTGTTTGCCTATGTCCAAGCTGTATTATCTTCATTACAGGGACCTGGTACTCATAGCCTCGGTTAATTGGTAGAATTCCGGCCTTGATAGCCATTGCTGACGTAGTTGTATGACTCGTGTAGTACCTCAATCGCAAACCTTTGCGCGAACGACCAACAGCACATCTATCCTATGATGAAGGCCTACATCTGATAAGATCATTCCTGTACTTCGCATCTCAGCATACTGTTGAAGAACTGCAAGCTTTCACGGCCCAGTGGGTTCCGCACCCCCAATGGGTGAAGGTGAAGGAAGTCGAGATACCAGAAGAGACGCTTCTGGAGGCCGCCGATGCTTTACAGGAACAGCTTGGCCCCGAGGGGGTTCGTTTAGTGGGCGGGAAGAATTGGTGGCAATGGAGACGACCTGAGAGCCCCTTGAAGGCTGAATGGATTGAGATGCGATCCGACTATAACGAACGGATAAAGTCGGGTGATGAGTTGGGCAAGCGGGTCATGCTATATGTCCACGGCGGTGGGTATTTCTTTGGCAGCGTTGATGAACATAGATACCAGATGCAACGGCATGCTCGGAAGCTCAAGGCTAGAGTCTTCGCACCCGAGTATCGACTGGCGCCTCAATTCCCCTTTCCATGTGGTCTGCAGGACTGTTTAGCAGCATACTTCCACCTGCTCAAAACCCATGAACCATCCTCGATCATTCTAGCCGGAGATTCGGCGGGGGGTGGCATGGTTTTGAGTGTGCTTGTCACACTAAGAGACCGGGGGCTACCTCTCCCAGCCGGTGCTATCCTGATTTCACCATGGGTTGATCTAACACACAGTTTTCCAAGTGTTTCTGGTGACTGTCCGTTAGACTATATCCCTCCTAATGGCTTCCATCATAAACCGTCAGAATCTTGGCCACCTCTAAACGCAGATGAATATGTCACGTTAAAGGAGGAAGTGTCCAAAAGGAAAAAGTCCAATCCATCAAAACAGCTCCCCGAAGCCGAGAATCCAGCGGTTGAACAATCCATGAAGAGCCGGGCAGAAACCACATATCTTAGGATACATATCGATGGTAAAGAAGTTGTGCTCAAAGATCAGATCCAGGTAAGATATGTCCCATAACTAATATGTTATAGATGTTAACACATATCCATGATCAGATGTACACAACCAATGAACTGCTATCGCATCCGTTGGTCAGCCCTATTATGCAGCCTTCACTCGGTGGCTTACCGCCATTGCTCATTATGACTGGCGGAGGCGAAATTCTTCGGGATGAGCAGATATATCTGGCCCATAAGTGTGCAAACCCGGATAAGTATCCTCCTGGTGACACTCATTTGAATGAAACAGCGAAGGAGCAGATTTCGCTTTTCAAACCAACTGATGTTCAGCTTCAGATATGGGACGATTTGTGTCATGTCGCACCAACGCTAAGCTTTACTCGACCAGCCAAATATATGTACCGATCGGTTGCACAGTTCGGAGCTTGGGCGTTAGCCAGAGCTCAGAAGACGGAGATTGAGATATTGGATGATGATCAGATTTCTATCATCTCAAGCTCCAATTCTTCTAGTGGCGAGGACGCGCCAGGTAAGGAGGAAACTAAATCACCAGGACCAGAGCAGTCCCAGGTTGGCAAGGCCGGCGACCCTTTGCCACCCTTCAAGAACCACATGATCCGACAGCGGGTCAGTCGACACGGTATTATTAGGCCGTTAGAGCCGGCTGTCGAACTTCCCGCATGCACTCTTGATCCTAATGAGATTGGTGTCATCAAGCAAAGTCCTGTTCAGAAGTGGCTTGAGGCGCGTCACCAGTGGGATACCCGCTTTGCGAGTACTCGTGCTAAAGTACATAAGAAGCGGCTCAAGGAGATGATGGCAGGCTACCAGGGGTTTGATGGCGAGACACCACCTCCAAGCGCTCTAGCCGCAAGACGTAAGGCTGCTGGTGCTCTAGTGGCAAAGAAGAAGAAAAAGAGCATGGGTCTTGCTCTATGGTCTCTATGGGGCTCAAAGCATGACGAGATGACCGTTCAGAGAGAAGAAGAAGCTGGAAAGCCTCCGGAGATGAAGATTGCTACGAAGCAAGAGGGCCACGGCGCACGTTCCCCGTCAGACCTAGAAAGACAGGAGCGTGACATGGCGAGCCAAAGACCGTTGAGTAGCCGGAGTCCCTCGAAGACAAAGATCGTCAGAGATGAGAACCAAACGTTGGATAGTGGCGTCATTGAAAACACACCAATTGCAGTTCTAATGGCAAAAAGAGAAGGGAAAATTCCCCAGGATGCTGCCGAACCACTCCCATCACGTAATAACGACTCGCTTTCGCCTTATTACGTCCCACCATCGACTGGGGCCACTGGCAAACGACCGATTGTGAGCGGCATTGCAGTGCCGTTCAGCCTGGGCAAAGAAGCCGAAACAGCTAGCATGATTACCTTAACCTCAGCAATGGACCAATCCTCGCGAGTTGCGAGTCCCATATCACCGGATCCGAGGATGGACGATTTATTTCCTACAAGCGCTACGGCGATGATGAGCTCTAATCCGGATATAGCTGACGCGGCGGAGGAGCCACCAACGCCCAAGGTAGTAGACACCAATACACCAGCAATGATCACCCCTCTAGCCACACCACTTTCGGGCGGCAGTGCTCTGGAACGCCCACCTTTGGAGACCTTTGTCACAGCGCAGGAAGAACTGCCGAAGGTCCAATAGATTGTGGTCGCGAATGTAATGAATCCTGTTGGGTGGGAGGAAGAAAGAACAGCACACGACTTTATACCCAAGTCTTTGGAATAGCTTTTATTTTGTATACCCTCGTTAGTAATAATCGTATATTAGTATGATACCAAACACGAATTCTTATTTGTTTCCTTTTGAAATCTTTAGATTTTTGACTTGGTAATTGTGATACATTATATACAGGCTCCTGAGGTATACATATCCTCACAGTATTTGTAGATTTCTGTCGGCGGCTGTATCAGGAACATGACGCTGTGGTTTTCGTCTCGTCGTGCACGAACGCTCAGCTCCAGGTCCTCTAGGGATACTTGTTGCTGGTATCCCTAGATTTTCGGATGGTCTAATCCTCTTATAATGGGCCACGACGAAAAGCAAACTGGATCTACTTTCCGAAGCTGGTGTTATTTAGTCCAGTCCGTTCTCGGTCTTCCACCGATCTAGATATAGTTCGGGACTCTTGGGACCCAGCTTATATCCCTCGTACCTACCCCTCGTGTGCTCGAATTTCATCGTAATGAAAGGTGTTAACTGTTTGGAAGATGTTCAGTTAGCATATAACCAATAACAGTGTCTTGAAAGCGAAGTGTCCGTATAGTTCCAGCCCTTTTCTTATGTACTAGACATACTTCTAGTATTCTTCTCCCTCTCCGAGGCACCTCTCTCTGTCCAACCAATCTTCTTGCGTACTAGTGGTATACAAGGAAGAGGGGGTTGGGTTAAAGAGTTGTCCAGTTATAGGCAAGGGGCCTCGCGGTTTAATGTGATCTCGACCCTCGTCGTTTATAGAGAGGCAAGAGGGCAGGATTTCGAGTTACGAATAGAAAATAGAACGCACATTAAAGGTATCGAGATTAGAGGGCACCACATATGTCCGCACCTTCTTCCAGTCGATAACATAGCCACCGAACTTGGTGTGTTGACCCATGGACCCGGTGCGTGTACCCTTATAGTATCCCTTATTGATATCCTTGGTCGTCAGCGGCAGCTTGCGAAAGCGCTTTAGGAGCGCTTGGGTCGGCTGCATTCTGATTCCCTTTACACGTTATCTCGCTTCCTTCCTTTCGATTCTGGTCTCACCGGATCCTTTCGGGGCAGTTGGTTGCTCGGAGGTGGCCGCCCCGAAAATGGCGATTTCGAGATAGTTTTCACCCAAGCTTGTCTTAGGAATTGACAGGATGGTCAATGCGTCGGTGCGTATGGCGAAGGAGTCGATATTCCTTTGTCCGCTAGGGTGATGCGATGCGGCGTCCTATTTGAACATTTCAGATAGCACCACTATGAAGTCGCGATACTAAAATTCAATTGCCAATTGTCCGACAGACAGACAGGGGTGTTGGTGGTTTAAGTGGTCCCTGTGCTTTTAGTGGATCGCTCGAGCTGGCAATGGCTGCTCGATAAAGCGCCGATAAGAGCTCCCCCACTATCGCGATAAGAAAAAGTTCTGGTAATCGGGTTGCTAGTAAAAGAAATCCCATGGTTTACAGATGTAATATCAAGTACCGCCGTTCTGCTTCTGTATTAGTATTTGGTGTCGCGGACAGGATTGAGTGAGTTTTAGCTTGTGCAGCTTGTTTTGGTCACAGGCTCTTTTAGGCTTTACTAGGACCTCGCCTGTTTCCAAATAATATACATTCGAAACAGCGACCAATACGTAATCCCAAAATGCCTGGCCGTCAAGCTCATGGGCGGCCCCTTATTGGCGGCGGCGGCAAAGGCAAGAACAAACGGTCGAGAACGAAGTCAAATGGAAAGGCCATGAACGCCTATGCTGCTGCTGCAGCTGAGGTAGGCGATCAGCAAAAGCGCACCCCACGCTATCGCCAGCTCGATGCGGATCTGGACGACGACATACCACGCGGGAAGCATGCCCGGGATGACGACGACGACGACGACGATGAGGATGAGGACGATGCACCACCTCGAAAAATGCGCCGTAGCTCTCGGCGAGACGAAGATGACAATGTCGAGTATGGGAGTGATAGCTCTGGCAATTCATGGCGTGTAAACGCAGTGCACGAGGAAGATGACGAGGAGATTGACAGCGACGAGGCTTTCGGCGAGAGTGACGAGGAACGGTTTCAGAACTTCAAATTCCCTGTAGGAAAGAAAAAGAAGAAACAGACAGAAGAGGTAAGCTGAGCAAGGGCAAACCCGGAGAGCCGGCCGTCGGCATGGCTAATTGTAGATGTAGGATGACGAGGACGACGAAGATAGTGAAGACGAAGACATCGGCGATGCCGATGGTGCCTCACTTGGATCCGACGCCATAGATCTTGCTGATGCTCTAGACATGTCTATGTCAGAGGACGATGATGGCGCTCAAGAGGAAGATGAAGACGAAGACAACTCCGAAGTTGAAGATGATAGCTCGGGAGACGAATCCTCCGACGTTGAATCAGATGACCAAGAAGGAGCAGATATTAATGAATGGGTGTCGAAGTTTGCAGGAGCCGACGATGCGGAGGACGACGAGACCCAAGCGGCGCCTTTGAAACCGAAACTTGGCCTTAAGGAATTAGGTCTCTTGAGCGTAAAGGACTCGGAACTTAAAAAGTCTCTCAAACTTATGACTAAAGATGAACGAGCCAAGAATAAACAAAAGCTCGAGGTTCCGCTCGCGCGACGGGCACAAGCTAAACTCGACCGTGCAGTTGCGTACGAAAAGACAAACGAAACCCTTGGCCGCTGGCTTGACACTGTAAAAGCTATGCGTAGGACGGATGAAAGTCTTGTTTTCCCTCTACCTCAACATGAGACAGGCTTGGCTCGCCATAACAACACTGAACTTGCACCACTGGATCATAAGACTGCCGACACAGAGCTCGAAAATACTATCATGGCCATTATGCAAGAAAGTGGTCTAAGCTTGGACCCTGAACCGAAGAAAAAGGCGGTTGTGGTTGATGAGGAGGGCCAAACTGTCTCTAGGAAAGCCATGCTACAGCAAAAACGTCGCGAGAGAGAGCTTCAGTCTAGAGAAGAAGCTAGGGCGAAGCGCATTAAGAAGATTAAGTCTAAGGCCTACCATCGCGTACATAGAAAGCAGAGGGAAAGGGACGAAATGAAAGAGCGAGAGATTATGGCCGCGTCTGGTGAGATCGACAGTGAGGACGAACGGGAGGCGTTGGACCGCCAGCGTGCGGTGGAGAGAATGGGAGCGCGACACCGAGAGAGCAAGTGGGCTAAACAGGCAAATAAAAACGGTCGAGCCGCTTGGGACGAGGACGTACGCTTGGGAGTCACCGAAATGGCGAGGCGAGATGAAGAGCTCCGTCGTCGTATTGAAGGGAAATCCGCGGATAAGGGTTCAGACGACGAATCCGATGACTCAGATGACTCCGGTGGTTCCGACGTTGACGAAAGGGTAAAGCTATTGCGACAACTCAAGCAAGTTGAAGCCATGGAAGATGCTGAGCCTAAATCAAAACTAATGAAAATGGACTTTATGAGAAAGGCCGAGGCCAGACGGAAACAGGAAAACGATGAGCTGATAGCTGATATGAGACGGGGACTTGATTCAGACGCAGATGACCTGAGCGAATCGGACCACGGACCCGAGGATATTGGCAGACGGATATTTGGCCAGCCAGCTGACTCGAAGCTAGCGTTAAAGGCCAGTAAACCAAGCAAAAAGACCAAAGCAGAAAAGACAGACGATGCTCAAGAGGATACAAATAACGCCCAGGAGCCCGCGGTTGGCCGATCCAAGGTCCTTTCGGCACCAGCTCCGCAGATTCCTGATGCAAATGGAACGGCTGGTGCATGGAGTCAGCCGACGGCGTCTGGATCTTCAAGGAAACAAAAGGGCAAAAAGACAGGGCCCAGCACAGATGTATTGGACATCGATATCAACTCCGTAGCTGTCTCTGCTCAGCCTCCAGTGTCAGCACCCGCGAAAGCTAAGGCGAAGAAGGGTGATAAGGTGCAGGCCGAACACTCTTCAGACGACGAAGATCAGGACCAGGCTGTACAGTTCCGTGAACAAGAGCTCATCGAAAGAGCCTTTGGAGGCTTGGATGTCTTTGAAGCGGAATTCCAGGCCGAAAAGGATGCCGCTGTTGCAGAGGACGATGAAAAGACCGTCGAAACGACATTGCCTGGCTGGGGTGCCGTAAGTGACTGCGCCCTGATCGCTAATTAATCTTGTCAGTCGTTTCGAGGTGCTAATATTTGTTCTTCTAGTGGGTGGGCGAAGGTGTGACGAAACGCGAAAAGAACCAGCAGCGGAGGTTCTTCACCAAGAAAGACGGCGTAAAGCCCGATGCCCGCAAGGATTTCAAGAAGGACAAGGTCATCATCAACGAGAAACGCGTCAAGAAGGTTAGTCTACGGCTTTTTCACCTGCCCTGTTTTATATCTATCTGCCCACAGACAAAGCGTTTACAGAAATTCTCCCCCAATTCTAACAATGACCGCACAGAACGACAAGTACCTCGCCTCACAACTCCCTCATCAATATGAGAGCAGAGCGCAGTATGAGCGCAGTCTGCGACTGCCCATGGGCCCCGAGTTCATGACCAAGCAGGCGTTCCAGGATGCCACGAAGCCGCGCGTCATCATCAAGCAAGGCATTATTGCGCCTATATCCAAGCCTACGCATTAGTTGGTATGGGCTATTAGGAGGAGGCAGTGTATATCCTCTCGCTCTGGAATAACATTGTATATAGCCAGCTGGATGTCCGTTTACTAGATTACCAGGGGCGAGCGTGGCGGAAATAGAAAGTAGCATTGATGCATGCAATGATTTAATCCACATAAGTCTAGAGTATGGCATTGTGAGACCTGTCATCGAAGTCTTGATCGTACTGTTATTATGTCGCTCCCGAATCATGGATGGAACTCGATGTTTGTTTGTTTGTATTTAACCCCTTATACGGGGATTGTGGGGGTATAAAGTAACGTTAACTGACGCCACCATCACTGCCTCTACTCTACTCTACTAAACATCTCATTAATCGTCCTCCTCGTCACTGCTATCCCCAAATATGGCTTTCAAAACCTCTTCCTGGGCACGTTTGCCCTCAAGCGCATCATTGACATCCGCGTTGACTTCGACCGGCTGTGCTTGTTGTGTCTGTGCGGGTTCCGGACGATGCGCTAATAACAGCCCTCTATTATCGCTGATCCCAGCGTTTGTATTCCGACTTGCAGTAGTACTGCTATGGTTATTATTCTCGAGACTAGCGGCTGCTTGTGCCTGCCTCATAAGCTCGTCCAGCGTCACGGCGCCTTCGCTATATACCCCTGTTGTTCCCATCCCGCTAGCCGCGGCCGTGGGTCTAGTGCTGCTAGTCTCCGTCTCTGCGTCGGGCTGCACGTGCGCGGGGGGGCGGACGTTGAAGCGCTTACATAGAAGTCTCGTGGGATAGAAGTCTGTTATGGTGCGCGTCATAGAGCCGTACATGCCTAATCTCGCTGCCTCTTCGGCGGGGTCTTTAGGCTTCTCGGGCGGTTTATGCAAGAGGTCTTCGCCTTTACCTCCTCCCGCTGCCCCGGCGGTGGGTTTCGCTGTGGACGTCGTGAACCGCGAGGCCATGAGGCCAGTCATAGGCTTGAAGATGCGCGCACAGCTGACGAATTCGTGGAGTTCACGCATCCAGTCCTGCGTCTTCATGTTTGGCGGCTTGGAAGGGATCGTCTTGTTGAAACCTGCGGCATACTCTAGATATGTGCGGTACCGCCCGCGCTTCGCTTCGTCGTCCGCGTATGGCGCCGGGCCGGTCCCACTGGCGCCGCGCGTGAGGGCTGCAACAGCTGTCACTTTGTCAAGCTCAGGAAGCTGGCGCAAGAGCTCCTGTTGCTTCTCGGCTTCGGTGAGAGCAAATTCCGCAGGCACCTCGCCTAGCGCTGGTGGGAGGTTCGTTTTACCTGTTGCGGACGCGAGGCGCTCGCGGGCTTCGGCCGACAGAAAGTCAAACACGGACTTTCCAGGTAGTTGTGCCTCTCCGAGAAGAGCGGCACGCGATTTAGGATCGAGTTTTGACGATTTCGCCGCGTCTGCTGTTGATATGTAGTCTGCCTTTTCACCTTCGGCTTTGCGCTCCTTGCTGGATTTCCAGCCTGGTGGTATTTCGGGAGGGGGGTATTTATCTGAATCCAGCGAGGACGTCAAGGGGTCAGCTTCAGTGCCGAAGAGGAATCCCTCGAGAGGCAGGCGGCCATCATGGCATTTTCGCAGACCCTTGCTCACCCTGGCCAATATGTTCTTTCTTGATCTGAATACCGGAACAGCCCCGAGAGCTGGATTTGCTGTTGTAGTCCCAATTTTCTTCTTTTTTTTGTCACCCCCTATTACCCGGTTATAAGATATTTTCGGGCCAATCTCGTATGGGTCTTCGTCATCAGAGCCAGTATCGTTTAGAATCCCGATCCCAATGCCTCCCTTCCCGAATTTATTCTTTTCTTTCTTTGACAACCCTGGCCGCCGCAACGGTAGACCCAGAGATTCTTCATCGGAACTCTCACCAGCTTCCGGCTTAGAGGCATTTCTCAAGGGTGTCAACCTTGACTCGCCCTCAAATCCCAGACCTTTACGGTCCTTTTTCTTGATAAAGGCTATCATAGAGACATTTTCGGGCGCGAAAAGATAAGTCTCTCCAGCGCTTTGTGGCGCATTGGGCTTGTTGGCGATGTCAAGCCTGGCTTTTCGGCGCACTTTTGGTCCAATGCCTTGCCCGTCTTTCCAGCCCATTTTCCTTAACAGCTTGACACCCATGGTCTCTCCTTGGACCCGAAAAAGGCCGGCCAGGCCACCACGGCCAATGCCATCTTCCTCGGTAGAGCCTAGACCGGCAAATCCTTGCGCAGTTTGTAGCTTCTCGGCATCGGCTGCATCTGCCAGGTCCTCCTCGTCCATGAAATCTTCTATGCGCTGCTGTGACGTCTTTTGCTCGTCCTTATGGCGATTTGATCTAGATGACACGAAAGTCGATGGCGTCCAGCCTTCTTTAGACCCCACAGTGTTGAAGTAGCCAGCGCTCCAACCGCCGGTGAAGGCGCCATGTAGGCGCTTTCGGCCCCGCTCATCCCTTACCTCCTGCTTCCATACGGGCACGTAGGAGCCGTCATCGCGCACCTCGGGGTCGAGGGGCGGTAGTGGAGTGCCGAAAAGCACATACGGGGATTGCTGGGCTTGGAGGTCGGCTTCGAATTGCGCGCGGTTTCGTTTGTAGGACATTTAGGCCTCGGCAGCGCGTAGGGCGCCTTATAGGTCTATCATCTGTCTAACCGGGCGGGAAGTATAGGCGCCTAGAAAATGAACGAGTGGAAAAGAAACGGTCAAGTACATCAGGTCCCTAGATTATGTTACATAACTTGGAAGTGTTCAGTTTGGTTGGTTGTCTGTCGCATTGATGTATTAAGATGTTCTCGGAGCTGTCATGTCCAGGGCTGATAAGCCTACTGGTATGGGAGCTTATCAGAGTGGGGCGGGCAGCTCCCTCGCGACGTCGCTAAGAAAGCCGACTGGATTCTTGATTCTTGATTGTAGATTTTAAGGTTCCCTGTGGAATTGAATTCATCGATTGTCTTGAGGGAGAATACCTATAGTGAATTCAATGATATATCGGGGCATGTTATCATGGTAACGTGACTGCTGCTACGGGATATAACATTACTATATGGATATGTACGCGAAGCCTGGACCAGTCAAGGAGACTCAGTGACCACATACACTCCGTAGTAGCAGTGTAGCCGCTGTTTCTCTTCCGATACATGTTAAACGAAGCACCAATAGTGCTCACCACGATTGTAAGCTAATGCGGCGGTAGCAGGTTGATACCGACCGGTACCTAATCTCATCGTTGTTGAGCCAAGCAGATTGGTATTCGCTTCGCATGTCGTCATACCCATGTCTCGTCTACCATCCTGCACCTCACCACGGTATGAGAAGTTTGTAAGTAGGTATTCGGAACCACAGAACATCGCAGACAAGGATGTGATGCACCTCAGCCGATGAGCTGCCGCCACGCTCTATACACTTTCGTACCTTCCGACGGCTATAATATGATCGGATAAGTCATGGTGACTAGGTACGTCGGATGGGACCGGACAGACATAGGTACAGTATTTAGGTAGCTATTATGCTATGTATGTCATGGACACGATTCTTTAACAACAACACCGCCAAGGTAGAGAAGTTTCATGTTGGCGGATTACAAAATCCTACATGTTCACCTGCTACGTGTAAATGCTGGGCAGACCGAGTCGCCTACCTACCATCTAGTAACCTTGGAAGTATCTAGATGGTAGGTAGTATGGTAGATTGAGAAGTGGTATGAACCCTTTTTTTCCGCGCCCAGATAGGCGAGCCAAACTCACCATACATAGGTAGTAGTAAGATCCTGCTGTACGCCCGCCCAATCTCTCCACAATATCCAATATCAGAGGATTCCCAATTATCGCCCAGTACGGTGCGGCTTATGCTTGCTAACCTTAGGTTAGGTATTCTGTGCTTCGGATGTTCTCACAATGTACGTACACAGCTTGAAGATGTACATGTGTCATGTGTGCTCCCAAGAGAGATGGCATTGTTTACCAACTAGGTAATGCATGTGAGTGCCTCAACATCTATCTCGCAATGTGTGTACAGCAATAGTAAAAGACAGCTACTTATAGTAAGTTAGGGGGAGGAATAGGGGACAATAACCGGGTTCTAAATAACTTTGAACTTCCTCAGGATAGCTGCCTCTGTATTGATATTGATTATTGGTGGGGTTTAGGCGCTGGCTAGGCAGATTGTGGGTCTGACTGGGCAGAACTGGGGTTACGTGTACGTGTAAGTACTACTTAAGTATGTACATATTGTACGGTAGGTCGTCTTCGATATGAGGGACAGCAACACCTACCAGACAAATAACCTCTCGAGCCTCGTACTTAGATCTACTATCTACAGTAGGTAGTATCGCTTTTTCTCCTTCTCGAGTCTCCACTGCAGTCTGCAGCTACAGCAGCATACGTGTGTTTTTATCACATGTAATGTGACTAGTTTCTACCGCACCACGAAGACATCTAAAGCGCTTTCCTGGGGGCCCTAAACCAACAATTGATGTGTGGGTTTGTTGTTGTAATGTCTCTCTGCCTCTTACATAGTAAGTACATATGGTAGGTAGATAGGCAAAGGGAGGAAAATTCATGAAATAGACATGCACATGGATTGTCCTTGTAATCAAAGACAACCTACTCACATGGTATATATCCTATCATGTAGTATCTGGAACAAAGTTGTCGTGGTGGTGTTGTTTTTTACCTACATACCTTGTATATACGAAGTATACCTGCAGACCTCTCCTATCAAAGCTCTCGACTTGCTCTCGACTTTCGGTCTTTTCTGCTCCCCCCTTTTCCACGGCAAATCGTAGGTATGGCTCTGTATGTACTTACTGTACCCCTTTTCGCTCTGCTTGTCTACCTGCCTGCCTGCATACCACCATACCCAAGTATGCTATATTGTAGGTAGTGTACAGTATCAGTATTTAAATGCGGTAGTACACCTGCATACTATGTACATAGAGTATCTAAGTAACTCTTAACGTACTTGCGTGTAAAAACTAAAACAGATCTGAGCATCTAATGCCGACTTAAGTAGTAGGTAGGTCCTGTTCATAGTCCCCTGCCGTGGCCTGGCTGTCCCTCACCAGTCTCCAATTTGCCGGTAACTACCAGGTAGCCAAGGTGCTGTCTAGCATCGAGCTCTTGTACTCACTAACCCATCTACCAATCTAAACTCTAGTGTACTGTTCTGTATGTACATTAGACATGGGAGAGCCAACAGCGGGCGATACTTATTCTGTACCTAGCCACCTACCTACAGTACATACAGTACACTAACCTCCCACTTCCTCCTCCCATCTAACCTGATTCTACCCGCTAACCTGGTAAATCATACCAACACTACCTCACACTACCTCATAGGTACTACCTACCTGACCTGCCCGCCGCCCGCCCGCTTGCCCATCGCCAGGACAAACCAGCACAAGCCAGCACAGGAGGTAGATGAGGTAAAATACCTACCTACTTACCTACCTACCGACTGCCTTACTATTATTGCTAGACTGGATTATACCAAGTTTGGATTGCCTTGCCTCCCTGGCACTCGATCTACCACCTGCCTGAATTGCTGTTGCTGTCGTTGTACCGACTGTTGCTCTGTCTGTCTGTCCGTCTGTCTGTCTGGCTGGCTGGCGTGTCGTGTCGCCAGCGCTCCCGTCACAAAGCGATGTCAATGCCTGCCACTGAACAGCAACTTCTTGACCGTCATTCATCAACTGCCTCGTCATCCCGTACCCACACTCACCATCATCATCACCATCACCGTCACAGCCAGCATCAACAGAAGCATCACCAGCAGTCCGATCATTACGCCCAGCCTGCCCGAGCCCACTCGACACGTTCACGCCCAACTACTGCTACGGCCACTCCCAGCTCCGACAGCATCAGCATTACCAACAGCCACAGCCACAGCAACGGCAACGGAAATAATAACAACAACCACGCTGCCCCACTCCCTCATCGATCTGCGTCGACCTCTCATCCCCAGCGCCATCATAGTCGCCGTCAATCCGGTTCTGGCTCCATCCGCGCAGTCCAAGACGTCCTCCCACAGCTAGACTATGAAACCACGAACGTAGCCCATCAGTCAAACCGAAGCTCAAGCAAAGACCGTCCTCCCCCGGTCTCCCGAGGCGCCGACTCCAAGGGCGTCCATCGCCGTGCCAGCGTACGCTCCAACCACTCCCATACCAGCGAAATGACCGGTACCACTGTGGTGAACAATAACGGCCCTGCCGCCGCCGCCGCCGTGCCCCCAGTCATGCAAGCCGCCGCCGACGCTCGTGCCACCGGTGCCAAGCAGAGAACATCGCGAACCTCCATTCCGACCCAATCCGGTAAATGGATTCTCGGAAAGACCATCGGTGCTGGTAGTATGGGCAAGGTGAAGCTTGCACGCAAAGAAGATGGGACTGAACAGGTCAGTTTATTTGACTGCTCTCCGTGGTCCTGCTCTTACCCCTTATCTCTTCCCTATTCTTGTACTACCCTCCCTCCCCTCACATTGTTCATATTCTTGATTGGCTAACATGCTCTTTCTTGTCTTAGGTTGCTTGCAAAATTATACCGCGTGGCTCTACCGAAGATGGGCACCATAGTCGGGCAGAAAAAGAAAGAGCAGACCAGTCCAAGGAGATACGCACTGCACGGGAGGCAGCTATCGTCACTCTTTTGCAACATCCTCACATTTGTGGTTTACGGGATGTCGTTCGGACCAATTACCACTGGTACATGCTATTTGAATATGTCAATGGCGGCCAGATGCTCGACTACATTATCTCCCATGGGAAGCTGAAAGAGAAGCAAGCGAGAAAATTCAGCCGACAGATTGCGAGCGCTCTGGATTACTGTCATAGAAACAGTATTGTTCACCGAGACCTCAAGATTGAGAATATCCTCATTAGCAAGACGGGAGATATCAAGATAATCGACTTCGGTCTTAGCAACCTGTTTTCCCCAAGGAGTCACTTGAAAACCTTTTGTGGTAGTCTTTACTTTGCAGCACCTGAGTTGCTCCAAGCCCGTGCCTACACTGGTCCGGAGGTGGACGTCTGGAGTTTTGGTATTGTTCTCTACGTCCTCGTATGCGGTAAAGTACCATTTGACGACCAAAGCATGCCAGCTTTACACGCAAAGATCAAAAAGGGAGTAGTCGACTACCCAGGTTGGCTATCAAATGGCAAGTCATTATAACTCCTGTCATATTCTTAATGCTGGAAATGGAAACTAATTGGATCCCCAGAATGCCGACACCTTCTATCGCGAATGCTCGTTACTGACCCCAGACAAAGGGCAACAATGTTTGAAGTCATGAACCACCCTTGGCTCACTAAAGGATATGGTTGTCCGCCGGAGAACTATCTTCCGCAGCGGGAGCCTCTGACTCTACCCTTAGACTCTGAGGTGATCAACGCCATGACGGGATTCAACTTTGGGTCACCAGAGGCCATCAAATCTCAACTCTCGAGATTGATTGAATCCGAAGATTACAAGCGAGCAGTACAATTACTTCAGAAAGAAAAAGAAGTCCCGCCCGCTCCAAAAGACCCTGAAAAGAAGCGCGGGTTCGGTTTCGACTTCTACAAGCGGCGAAACTCTACTAGTAGTAGAGATAATCTAACAGCGCCCAGCTCTGAAGCACTCCAAGTTGGTAGCGACCCTCTGAATGCTTTCAGTCCGCTTGTTTCGATCTATTATTTGGTAAAAGAGAAGCAAGACCGAGATAGAATCGACAGAGTAGACAAAGTGCCAAAGTCGCACCCACCCAAGAACGCTGCTGACACTCCTATGCCCGAAATCGTTCCTCCACCTGAAGCACATACCAATACCTCCACCTACGAGATGGCTGGAGAAAAAGCCACAGGTGGTAGAACAAGACCCCGTGCTCGGACCCATGGCGAAGATGATGCGCCCGAGGAAATCAAGAGACCCCATGCACAAACAAATATCCCAGTTCCGCCAGAACCCCCAGCTGAGCTTGCGCCCAGGAAGGAAAGTACTGCTGCAGGTATCTTGAGGCGTTTCAGTACTCGACGTCGAAAAGAACCGGAGAGACTGGATAAAGATCGGTCTCACCCCCCTGCGGTTCATGTTCATTCTCCGGCTGAAACACCCACAACACCACGCAAAAGCTTCAGCATTCGAAAACCAAGAGGGCGAGATCGCGATGACCCCCAGATGCCGAGGCTCCGATCCGGCAGCAGCCAACCTCAACACCGAGATTTACTCAGCCCACCACTTTCAGCCGGCGCTAATTTCTCTGAGAGTAGCAAAGCACTTGGGCGTTCTACTAGTGTCAACTCGGCTGATTATAGGAGGCGACCTTTCGGCTCTGCCAGTAGGATCGTCAAGGAGCCACCACCTACAAGTGGCTCGGATCAGTCGGCGAGCGCTGATAAGCCTCCTCATGAACCAAACAGTACTCTAAATTCTCGAGGTGCATCCATGCGAGCCCGGCCTCTAGGACATGCTCGGCGGGAGAGTATTCAAGCAAGGAGAGCACGGAGAGAAGGCGCAAGGACAACCGACCTTGTAGAGGAAACGGATCAAGAAGTTGCCGAAGGAAGTGGAAATTCGGCGGATCGACTTGATGACTCCGAACTTGCGAAGCCAGTCTTCCTAAAAGGCCTTTTCAGTGTTTCCACAACTTCGACCAAGTCCGTACCGGCCATCCGTAAAGAGATGAAGAGGGTCCTCAAACAGCTAGGTGTCGAGTATACAGAAATCAAGGGTGGGTTTAGTTGCCGACACACGCCGAGCATCGATATGAAAAAGATAGTAGATGTGCCTGAGAGTCCTGCCCTTACCCCCGGTGTCCGCCGGCGCTTCAGCTTTGGCATCAGGAGTGAGCGGGAACGAGACGAACTTCGGGAGATGGATCGGGTACCACATACACCTCGTACTCCTGGAAAGGGACCCGCCGATAGAGGTGATTCAACATCTGAACTCTCTGACCAGGAGAGCATACATCGAGATGTTACTGGGTCTTCGAGACGAGTACCGGGTGAGACCACTACACACGTACAAAGCGATTTAGGTGGAAGCATGATTCTTGAGTTCGAAATCGTCATTGTCAAGGTCCCTCTGCTCTCATTGCACGGTATCCAATTCAAGCGCATGAAGGGTAACACGTGGCAGTTCAAGAGTATGGCCGACCAGATTCTCAAAGAGCTTCGGTTATAAGCCTGGCACTTAATAGTAAGAAGATTTGGCAGGCCCAACTCTCTTCTCCTAGTAGCAACCCACGGAGTGGTCAAAATTGGGAGTTGGTTGCGGACAATTGGTGATTTCACCAGCGTTTCTTTTCGTTTGCCACGTCTTTGGTTGAAATGGGCACGCGGTTAGCTTCTACAACTTAAGTGGTTGCAAACTATTTCTTAATTAAAACCGATCTATATGTCTCGGGTATATGGATAGATGGATTCTTGCTTGGTTTAATACGATTTCATTGCATTATTGCTCCGTCGCCAAATGCAGACCAATTTTTTGGTCTTTCACACAGCCTCTTCATTCAGGCAGGTAGACATACAGAAGACAACAGAACACACACCAGGGAGAGATCAACAGAAACAGACAGTGGCACTGAGAGGGAGAAGTGATGATGGTTGCTGTTGTTGTTGTTGTATAAGATTAATATGATTTCGATGGCATGGATTAGCGAGCCAGGCTTCACGACAATCATGATTTCCTAATAGTGAATACAAGTAGTAATGTCACAAATGATCTGGTTGACCAGCATTGTGGCTACATCCCAGTACTGAGGTGCGAAACAAGGCTTCATGGAACAGATCTGTAGAGTTTATGCCTTCGGAGAGGGGCAGGGCAGGCGTAATGCGAGGCACTTCGGAGAGAGCCAGCCTGATCAAATGGGCCGAATCGTGATGCGATCCGCATGCATCCACGATTACTGGTACACCGGACATTTCCCCTCCCTCCCTCGCCTGTGCTCGTCTCTCCTCATCTCCCCTCGATCCCCCACCTTCTCTCTATATTTCTCCTGGCTTGTGTACCTATCGGTCGTGGGTGACATTTAGACCCGAATGTGGTCATTGGCTATGGAAATATGTCGTGCCGCATCCTTTGTCTCTTGCTGCAAGTAAGAATGTAGGACCCACGTACAAGAAAGCTTGGACAGGGCAGAGGACAGGGCCAAGGGTGGCACCAGAGTCTAATCTACCACCACCTAGCCCAAGTACCTACGTGGCGAGTGGCGTCAGCTGTCGCATTCTTTGAGCTTGTGTGGCTGCCGCTTGGGAAGGACTGGCACGGCCAGTACCTAAGTACTAATCGAAACAACCGGACCGACGCTTCCAAGTTCTTGTTCCCAAGTCCCCGATCCCCCAAATCCACCTCAAACGGCAAGTTGGAACCCTCACCCAGACCAGAACCGCCGTGCATATCTTATATGTCGTCCTGGATCCAACCGCCTCAACTCCAATCCCTCTCTGCACCCGCCTCGACTTACGTTCCCGCGTCTACCACTACGCCTCTCTCAACCGCTCTCTAAATCGTCTAATCGTTCCGCCGTAGTCTGAGAAACAACTCCATCTCCAAACCAATAGCTACCTGAAGTAGCTGATTAGGCTCGGCCCTAGCTTGGCTCCTTCAAGGAAAACACTCTTACCCTAACCGCCAATACACTTCCGACCCGCGCGGGCCTACTCGAATCTAGTTCTGCACGATAGCCTCAACAGGTCAACTCGCGTTAATAGCCGTGTCTACAGCTGCACCTGTTCCCTGCTTCTTATTGTACAACGCCTCTTGGAACGTTGTTCAAGCGACCCTTGTCCGAGCTTACGCCGCAACCCCCCACGAGCGACAATCGCTATATAGCCGCGCTCCGGTCGTAACGCCATCTATTCAAGCAATACGAATACGGTGCGCTGTTCGCGTTGTCCCGAATCCATCGACCTCAGAGGCTACTCTGGCCTGACTACCCACCGCATCACTCTGAACTCTCCTCGCGGTTATCCTCAATTCTGCCTTCAACATGTATGGTCAACAACATCACTACAACCATCCTGACCAGTCGTGGATGCATCCGTCCTCCAACTATCAGCATCAAGCACAGCAAGTCGCTATCAACGCCGCCCAGCAACATCATGGCCGTATCCAAGGCGGCCCCAACATGGCCGCATCCATGGGTGGGCATATCCAGGACACGGGCATGGAGACTTTGACCGAGGACAATCGTCGCACCATGGGGTTCGTTGCCGACCTCCTCAATGAGACCACTCGCGAAGCCGCTCTTCTGGAGCTTAGCAAAAAGCGCGAGCAGGTTCCTGAACTAGCTATGATTCTGTGGCACTCCTTTGGTAGGCCTAACACCATACCATGAAGTACACGAGCAAATCTAGCTAACCTATATCCCGTAGGCGTGATGACCTCCCTTATGCAGGAGATTATCTCTGTATATAACCTTTTAAACCCCTCGCAGCTTACTGCTGCGGCATCCAACAGAGTCTGCAATGCACTAGCATTGCTCCAGTGTGTGGCATCCCACAACGATACCCGGACTCTTTTCCTGAACGGTAGGCTCTCTTTTAGTCCATTGCACACTTGTACATTGCATTGCTAACGGCGAATGTCACAGCTCACATCCCTCTGTTCCTCTATCCGTTCCTAAACACGACATCCAAGTCTCGCCCTTTCGAGTACTTGCGACTGACTTCCCTCGGTGTAATCGGAGCACTTGTTAAGAACGACTCCACCGAGGTAATCAATTTCCTTCTCACGACTGAGATCATCCCTCTCTGCCTTCGCATCATGGAGACCGGGTCCGAGCTTAGCAAAACTGTAGCCATCTTCATCGTTCAGAAAATCTTGCTTGATGACAATGGTCTTAACTATATCTGCGCTACCTATGAGCGTTTCTATGCTGTCGGAACCGTGTTGAGCAATATGGTCGCTCAACTCGTTGAGCAACAGACCGCACGATTGCTTAAGCACGTCGTGCGCTGCTTCTTGCGTCTTAGCGACAATGCGCGTGCCCGAGAAGCTCTTCGCCAATGCTTACCAGAGCCCCTTCGAGATGCCACCTTCAGCAACGTGCTACGTGATGATGCAGCAACTAAGCGGTGCCTAGCGCAACTTCTAATCAATCTATCAGACAATGTGGTGGAGACTTCAACAGGAGATAATCATCGTCTCAGCTAGATTCATGAGCTAGGTTCTCCCGTCAAAGCTGTTTATAATAAGCTTTCCAACCTGACACAGGTGCGATGTCAGTGAGCGGCATCTTCCGTTTCAAAAACATGGCTAGATGTCATCATATCCAATCAAGAAATGGAACCACCAAACCGCCACTGGCGACGGTTACCGATACACACTAATTAATGCATGGTCATCGAGGAGAAGACGTTTTTGCGTTGTTCTTCTAGCTACTCATACATCTATTCTTCTCGTCGGGTCCATATAAGGAATTCGTAGTTATGAGTCTGGCCAAGTCAAATCGCCTCAACACGGTGTCTGGAGGACGTTCTTTGATGTCTCAACCCAGCTGCTCGCTAGTCGTGTTTCTTTTTACACATTACCCCTGGAGTTAAAGAGACGATATACCCGCGTGGAATAATCGAAAATTCGGCATCCCATATACTCGACAATGCCCGAGTTCTATACCCTATAAGCCCTGCATTTTGGTGCATAGACGGCGTTTAGCGGGCGAAGGTTTCCTCATTCTCTTGTTTTCTTCTAGTTCTCTCCCAATGCTTCTACGTCACGATCCCAGAGGACCACTCGCTCATTATGAAGCGAAAAAACAACATCGAATCCCAAACAAAAAAAGTGTCCAAAAGATTGGGAGCTTAATTACATGCCCTCTCAGATCAAGTTTCTAGTACCCAGGTATCTATTTCTCGATCTGGGCCACTCTCGTCAACTAGTCTCGGGTTGAGTCTTTAGCTTCTGTTTTTCTGCTGCATTTTCATGGGAAGGAATGGTTTTTAACTGGGCGGCGTTGAGAGGCATCTTTTATACATTGCATCGTAATGTTTTACCTCAATTCTTTGTATGTTGTTTATTCACTATCCGGGCTCCGTTTTGGTAGATAAAAATTAGGGGAGTTCATGATGACAGTTGGTATTACGGTCTGATATCAATTTGAGAATAGGGACGGGAGTTGGGGGGGTTTCCAGCGTCTTGCCGACGACCCACGGTCTCGTCATTGGATGCTGCATACATTACATACATAAGGGGAGTTCATCAGTCTTGTAGGTTCGTGTACGTGTATATGAGCAGTGGCAGTCAGGAGCGAAGCATTCCTTCAATGCTGAAAACATTGAATGGTTTTTAAGATACTAAGTACAAAAAGAGAAAGAAGGAGATAGCGCAGAAAAATCATGAACAGGGGACGTGAGATTAGATGGTTAGCAAAATAATGATTATTAGTATAATATGGCCTATTTACATATTAACTACAGATGTATATCTTCATATTCCATTGTGATCCCTGATGAATAGAATGAGTTAGTTATATGGTGAAAGAGAAAAAATATGTACCGGTTTGGTAGTGTGTACCTGTATATATATATATATATATATATATATGTGTGTGTGTGTGTCATTAGACATGATGATGATTCTTCATATTTGATTTATTGTTGTAATTTTTTATATCTTGGTTCTATTCAAGTTGTGCGTGGTGTTTGTTCATTGAAAATATATAGGTTGGGAGGTATTAAAAGAGGAGAGGGGTATTAATGGATTGGGCTGATAAGAAGTATGAAGTGCTGGGATGAGAATAGATATATGTATGTCTTATGGAATAGATTCGTATGGTGTAGGAGGGGTTCACGTGGTATTTTATTGTCTTCTCTCTTGCTTTGTGTAAATTTTTTGTTGCTGTTGTTGGAAGTGGTCGTTTTGAATGAACGCGTAGAGTCAGTCTATGCTTGTTTGGTTTTTCAACATGGGTATTTTCTTAGAGGTAGATGCGTGTGTGTGAGTTTGTAGTTGAGGTAGGTACTGGGATGCTTGGGGGGTTTTCTGGTTTTGGAGGACGGGATGTTGGGTTTATGTTAATTTCATGGGTATGTGGTACATAAATATATATATATATAAGTGTGTATATTCAAGCTGTGCCCTTGTTCTCCTTTTGTTTTTGCTTGACTCAGGCGTGTGCGAATGTGAGATACCGAGATCCGTGTTGTGGCTAGGTTAGATGGAAGTTATCGTGCGAGGTGATGTTTGTTAGGTCGTTTTGTGTGCGAGACGGTGTTGGTTGATGCTCGATGGTAGGTATCGAGGCGTGTGATAACGATAGTTGAGACTTTTCACTGGGGTGGGAAACAATCAGACGTTTCTCGTTCAAGGCGAGAGTGAGGAGGAACAGCTACAGACGGGATGAAAGTTTCATTTCACTTCCATCTGAGCGTTTAGTTAATAGATATGAGATCGGTATTGTCGTGTCATGATTAGTTGATTATAAGGGCTTGTGCACAAGATACTCTCTCAACGACATTAAACTCACTTATATTCTTGGTATGGGTAGACATATGTTTCCCTGACGCAAGATCATGGTGGCAGGAAATTTATATCCAATTTGCCAAAGTATCAGGTATATCTAACAATATTTACTCGGAGCTCACCGCCAGAGCTAGGTAATAAAATCCATATCGTCAGCTTGTTCGGTAACCAACCCTCAGCAAGTTTTAAAATCCATGATACCAGCCGTCCTTCCACTCCTAATTGAACCGAATACTCCTGAGAAGCGACCGTAATGATATAAGAAAGCACCGTTCGAATTCCAAGTGTAGATGAACGGTGCATTTCCCCAAAATGTGCGTGTGCGTGTGCGTGTTGCCTGGGTAGGCTGGTCGAGAGCGAGGCGGCGGACTAGAAGACGCCACCTACCGCACTGACTGGGGTAAATCGTAGGCGGTCAAGATGTGAACCGTGTGTAACCTCGGTGTCGAACAGATTTAAGCAAAAGCAACTACCGTATGTCGACTGGAGAGGGAAACATGAAAGTCGAGGAGGAAAGAAAAAAAAAAAAAATAGAAAGTTCAACTCGAATCGCTTAAGTTGATCATTAGTCATTACCACAACATTCTCCCCAGCGTAATGCCCACGTTCCGTCCGCCTGTTCCCTCGAATGCTATCGATCCGTTTCATCTGCGATCTCTTCGGGTTTCCGTCCATACCACACATAGTACGTGGCGTAACAATGTATCGAGCTGTCGTGGAACATCTTGACGCAGTCTGAGTAAAGCGACTCCGCCTGTTCGGGTGTCAAACCGATGTGCCCGAGCATCTTGTCGCTCGTAGGGAGCAGGAGCTCGGCGTTGACGCTGAAGACGGTACCGCGCCGTCGCGATACCGAATCCTTGGGCCATGGGCCGTAAGGTACGCGATAGGTCTTCTTTTCGATGTCCACGAACCCGGCCTGCTTCATGATGTCTCCTATCTCTGGAACGATGGGGATCTTCCGGCCCTCAGTGGATGCAGCTGCTGACATCATGTGGTCCATGTACCGGTTGACCGGGATATTGGGGTCGATTGTGCCGTCCTCCTTCTCGGCTACCCAGTGGAACTCTTGCAGTTCAAGCCAACCACCGGGCTTCAAATGACTAAGGGCACTGTCTGAGCATAGAGTTTATATAACTTATAGGTTGAGGATTGAGAAGAGAAGGGAGGGGAGGTCATATCCATGACACTTACGCTATGGCACTTTCAATGACGGTTGGAGTCGACTTCATATATCCGCAAGCCTCACGTATGTGGATAAAGTCATAGTCGTCGTCGTGGACCTGCATCACCGACGCTCATCAGTCACGGCTTACGCAATTAACTGGGCGAGTTGGACTCACCCATGTGTCTTCCACGTCGTCTACTTGGAATGTTACGTTCGGCGGAACTCTTCTCACACATTAGTCAAGCTGCGTCAGTTACTCTAAGAGATTACGATAAAGACCTACGAGGTGGGCTGTATGGGACTGAGATCGAGGCCTAGAATGTTGGTATCTGGATATCGATCTCCCACTAGGATCCTTGCCGTCAGCAATGCTTCGACCAATCTCGGGTTTTAGAAGTGATTGATTTACTTTCAATGGCCCATAATCCTATACCGGTAGCAAGATCCATGACCTTTTTAGGTGGCTCGGCCATGGGTGCCAGAAACAACCGCTGGTCTAAAATGTCCATTACCAGGATATGCATGAGTTCCTCACGCTGCTGCTCAAGCTCATCGTTGGGTAGACTATATCGACCCTCACGGTACACATGATATCTGAGAACTCCAATCAGTCGAGAATGCGACGACTTGGGGGGCGAGTCGGCAGTTGTTGCTCTCTCTCACCTTCGTCCACCCTCCCACAGATGCCTGCCAATGCCACTCTCCAGCGACATGCTAATCCTCTCGGTGATCCAGTCATAGGTGGTGTGAGTGGAAGCCATTGTGGTTAGCACGCGCCTCGCGCAGGGCGAACGGAAGTGTTGCTAGGCGTCGACAACGACGACGACGACAACAACAACAAAGTGATTGGAGGTGAAGAGGAGGAAAAGGCTCATAGGCAGGCAATAGACTTAGGAATCGGCCAAGAAGGATGGGAAAATTTATTGATTGGGCAAATCGACAGAGGGTGGCAGGGGTCGCCGATTTGGTTGGTTTTTTTTCGGGATAGCAAGCTGCCCCTACTAAGGTAAAGACAGACAAGGCAGATAGCGCCTGCTGAGCTACTACCTCTACCTAGGCTCTAGGCTCTAGGTACTAGGAAGTGTGGGGAGGGTCTCTTTAAGTAAGGGCTTCTAGAAATTGGGCAGGATTTCCTAAGTGTCGTAGTGTCTGTCGTAGTGTCGGCCGTAGCGTAGGCAGGTCGTAGCGGCATGCAATGCAAGGGTAAGGAGAGAGCCAGAAGGGAGGGGAGGGGAGGGGAGAGGGAGAGGAAGAGGAAGCGAGAGGAAGCGAGAGTGAATGATTGAAGGACGGCGAACCGGGACCGGTGAAGAAGCCGGACACAGGCGAAGCGAAATCAAATCTGGCTGAGGGAGAGAAGAGAAGCTTTTTAAGAGGCCCAAGCGAGCCACGATGGGCACCGGGTCGAGCCAGTGACTGGTTCGCCGGCAGCCATCCCCATCCATCCCCATCCGCCCTCACCCCTGGGACTGACTGGGACTGCCTGGGACTGCCTGGGGAGTCGGAGGGGTGCGACGCTGATTCCAGGCCCAAGGATCCAGGGCTGGATAGTGCTGACCAGTGACGATGCGTTACCTAAGCTGATGGCCCAGCTCGCGATGGCTCGTTATTGGTGAGCCATTGTCCCGGGACAACAACAAGCTCGCTGGCTGTTGGTCGTTCGAAACTCGACATACATACACACATACAGACCTACATACAGACCGACAGACTGCCTACATGCCTCATCCTGGATCCCCCATCCAAGGCACCTATCCCAAGCACCTGCGGCGTCCAACCCCATGCAGAGCGGGATGCAGCAGTGCGCTGTACACGCAACCCGGTTTGGGGAAAGCCCGCGGTAGATTTTGCACTTTGCATACCCTCCCGACCTGCCTCACCAGGCAAAGTTGGTGTGCTGTACTTAGAGAGTTGGGATAGGGTGGTGCCAGTTGGTTGGGCGTGGAGTGTTCATATCATGGACACTGTATGTACATTGTAGTAAGTAAGTAACATCGTCTAGACCAAAATACAGCGACCGCCCATCCTCTTTTTTTTCCCTATTTTTTTTATCTGCTCACCCTCGGGCTAATGCTCACACTAAGTTCCATACTGCCGCTAGCCGTGTCGATGGCTTGTACGCTATTACGTTAGGGGTACTCGCATCATTGTAAATTGCTATCGAGATTCTGATGATTGTTTTGTCTATGAGTGCAGAATTCGAGTTGTTGAAGAGAGAGAGCAATAAATCTGTAACATCAAAGCCACCAGAAGAAGAAGCCCGAACCCAGGTCCCGGCAAATCCAAGGACCAAGGACGAACGAGGAGGGGCTGAGAGGACCCAGCTCATTCCCAGGGCCGTGTCTTCGTCTCTCGCGTAATCCGTCTTGTCGGGATCGTGGTAGTAATTGTTGGTCCATCACATGCAACGCAAAAAAGTACCTAGCCTAGCGATTGAAGGGCGCCTAGCCTACCACTGTGCTGGGTCGGTCCAACGATGCTGGTCCGTCAGGATTTACAAGTGGCACGGTAACAAGCTCTGAGCAACCTGACTCGCCCGTCAGCGCGTGGACAAAATGCTCACCTGCATTAGATCGATTCCGAGTTTACCTGCTTCGAGCCTCGTGCATCATGGCGGTCGTGTCACGACGTACGACCTGTTCAGTCTGTAAGCTCTCTCTCTCACCTTGACCGCCTTATCCAGCACGACGCTGGTAGATAAGGTAACAGAACGGGACGCGGCGAGAGCAGAGATGAGAGAAGGTGACAGAAGAGTATTTCTCAGCAGCTTGGCAGTAGATAAGTCAATAGACAGACAGTAAGACAAAGGCCAATTCCTTACAAATAGCAACGGCAAATATGCCGGCTGGGCGGAAAGTTGACATGCACCAGACACACACGTACATAGTAGGACACTTCCTTGTCTTTCCGCCGCATTAGATAATACCTGAGCGAGGGAGGGGGTTTGTTCTTGGCTTGGCGTTGAATCCCGATATGTAGCCAGGGTTCGGTCAAGTCAATTGTGAGCGTGCCAGCATCAGAGCCAGTAAATCCGGGCCACGACAAATACCAAAAACCAGATACCTACATACTAAAGTCGGGGCCCAAACTCCCATACATCATGTACATCATCATGGATGTTGGCATACATGATACAGCATATACGCAGGTTAGCAGCATCGTACAGCTGAATGCCGGCGGCTAACTCAGCTTAGGGTGCTAGGCAGGTCTAAAATACATGCGTGACCTTGGGTAGAGTTGGCAAGCAGAGTCGGAGCAGTACTTATCTACCGGTATGTCCCATCATGCGCAGATTATATACTACTTACTTACTATGTAGAGAAAGCCACTGTTCATGCTTTGCCATCGATAGCCGTGTTCATGTGAGCCGTAATTCGTAATTCGTCCAAGTCTTGTCATGCTGATGGTCCTTGGCGTAGAACCAAGGCTTGTCTGTCGGACGAATTGCAGCTATAAGGCTTCCACCACCTCCGCCATGGCCTTGGTGACAAGAAGAGAACTGAGAGCTTTTTGGCATCTTTCCACGATGCTAGATAATGGCTGGCGGCAAGCACGCCATAGAAGGGCCTTTCACCAATGATCTCTAAGTAAGAGGTTTCGATATCTTATCCATTCCCTTTACGTACTTGACACCAACAATATAAGTACGAAGTATGTAGGTATATCGGTACGCTTAATATTTCCCTTATGAAGTAGGGACACAGCTGGAGTCGTACCTAGTGTACCCAAGGGGGGGTTATGTCCACTTGACATGATGGTACCGCCAGGCCTGGAATGTCATCTCCCCACATAGTCGCCAGAATTAGGCGGTCTGAGGCAGTGGATGAACCAACGCTAAAACTTGGGCGTGTAGATCTTGAAACAGTACTGGATCTCTAGGGCTGGTGACAGCAACAAGGGGATTTCCACATGGTACATTTTGATATACCGCGAAGGGTCGAGGCATCGCAATTTCATGACAAAGAGGAAAAGGGGCTGGTATACCTTGCGTACCTGGGGCCAGGGTTTGCTGGAGACACGATGGCGCTATGCGGAAAGTGGAGAAGACGGATTACCCAATACCAACAACTCCTATTGTACAACTCGCATTATCTGTGCATCTGAAGTAAGGAGGTGGTGTACTAGGCAGTAGCTGTGTGAGACATTGAGCTTCCAGATTGAGCCTCATCATTCAGGGCTTCTACTGATTCGTACAAATTCTCTTTTATCATTTTTCCATCATATGATGGCGGCTACTATCTAAGACATTTTCAAATCCTCCAAAGCTGCGGCGTGCGGGGAATGGCGGGGTAGGGGTCGGATAGCAATCGACCTGCCTACATGTAGCAGTGACACTTTTAGAGGACCTCGAAAGCACCGCCTACCTACTTTGAACCCTGAACTTATATACTTACATTAAGTATGTATGTAGGTATGCTACCGGTATCAGACATCGTATAAGCTGGTGTAGTACCAAGGAGACGTCGGTGCCAGCGGAACCCGCGCGATAGTAAGTAAGGCAGGCAGGTTTGATAATTTGCGTGAATGCCAATGGCCATCGGATTCTTGGAGGAGCATGATATGACGAATACCAGCTCGTTGGCTAGCTGGGGTATCATCACTACCACCTCGAGTTACTTCAAGGGATCGAGGCCACCTGAATGAAGGCAACCGACAAGCCCCCAAGTCTCAACTCCAACTCCAGATAGGTAAGTAAGGCTCCAGATGACTCCAACGTCTCTCCGTCTTGTCCTACCACGAGGGAAGCAGTCAAGCCGCTAGAGACGTGCCCAGTACACTTGAGAACGTGGCAAGGTGAGGGTGTGATCTGAACTAGCTGATACACATGTTGTTCTCTACCAGACTGGAGTAATGAGTATGGTAATACTGTCGTATAATACCGTAGGACGAATTGCTGATTAGGTAGTTTAAAGTTGGCGTCATCCGTGATCAAAGGCTGAGACCGCCTCACGTGGCTGGCAAGGGAGCAAGGGTGTGTCTTTCTTGATTGTTCATTCTGGCATGTTTATATATGCACCTACCTACTTACTTACTTGCTTAACCTGGTGCCAACAGGGTATTCCTTTCAGGTCCTTCAGGTCCTTTAAGGACAGCCCTTTCTCCTGCAGCCCGCCGTGCCGTTGTGCAATCAGTCTTGTCTCATCTTTTTTTGAATTGATAGAGAGGTGGACTGTAGACCTCGTCCGGTTGGCTCGGTTCAGTTTTCCTCCCGGCCGGCACCTTTCATCCCTTCATCCCTTTGGCCAACAGGATTCAATTCATCGCTACCTCTACCTTGTGCTGTTGTTGCCACTACCGCGACCACTAATACCGCTAGCAGCAAGGGCCCCCGTGCGTGCCCTAACGTGGTGGAATCATGGCCACTATCACCACTACCGTCTTGTCCACTGTTACCGTCACCTCTGCGAAACCCACCGCGACTAGCGCTCCTCCGCAGGGTGGTATTCTGGAAGGTGTGCTCCCCAATGTCTTCAGCACCTCAAACCCCATCACACTCTTCATCATCCAGGTGAGCCGACCCCCCAATCCAATATACTCACATTCCCCAGGCCCCCCGGTCCATGACGAAGCTATGCGTCTAGTTGTTCGTGCGACGACGAAGTGGTTGCGCATCGGCTAATCAAACATTGGAATGGTCTAGGCTGTCATCATAATCATCTTGTGCCGCCTGCTCCACTATCCTCTATCACGTCTAGGTCAGCCCCGCGTCATCGCCGAAGTCATTGGCGGCATCTTGTTGGGCCCGTCAGTGCTGTCGCGCATCCCTCACTTCAAGGAGAACATCCTGCCCACCGAGTCCTTGCCCGTGCTGAACAATGTCGCCAACCTGGGTCTCATCTTGTTTCTCTTCCTCATCGGCCTCGAGGTCGACTTGCGCTTGTTCATCTCCAACTGGCGAGTCGCCGTCGGCGTCGGCCTGGGTGGCTTGCTTCTGCCCTTCGGCCTAGGCTACGCCATTGCCTGGGGCATATACAACCAGTTCAAAGAGGAGATCACGAACAATGTTAATTTCGGCATTTTCGGCCTGTTTGTCGGCACCGCCCTGGCCATCACTGCGTTCCCTGTCTTATGTCGTATCCTCTCGGAGCTCAATCTCCTCAACAACTCCGTCGGTGTAACCGTCCTGGCCGCTGGTGTGGGCAATGATGTAGTGGGCTGGATTCTCCTTGCGCTCTCTGTAGCGTTGGTTAACAATGCCAACGGCTTGACTGCCCTATACGTCCTTCTCGTCACTTTGGGCTGGCTTCTCTTCTTGGTCTTTGCTGTGAGGCCTGTGTTTCACTGGGCTCTGCGAAGGACTGGTAGCATTCAGAATGGTCCGACCCAGGGCATGATTGCCGTGACACTCTTGCTTGTGCTGGTTTCGTCCTGGTTTACTAGTAAGTTTGTTCTGCTGAACTTCGGGATACGTTCAAATTCTAACGAGAACAGGTATCATTGGTGTTCACGCGATTTTCGGTGCTTTTCTTGTGGGCTTGATTTGTCCCCATGATGGCGGCTTTGCCATCAAGGTCACGGAGAAAATCGAAGACTTGATCACCGTCCTTTTCATCCCCTTGTACTTCGCCTTCTCAGGTCTAAGCACAAATCTTGGCCTTTTGAATGATGGCATCACTTGGGCCTACGTCATAGCTATCATTGTAATCGCTTTTGCAGGCAAGATCATAGGCGGTACAATAGCTGCTAAAATCAGCGGGCTCGTTTGGAGAGAGAGTCTCACAATCGGTGTGTTAATGAGTTGTAAGGGTTTAGTCGAACTGATTGTTCTTGTAAGTGGTATACTATACATACAGTACTTGATCGAAGTCCGACTAACTGTATTCATAGAATGTTGGTCTCCAAGCCCATATTCTGAGTCAGAAGACGTTCACCATGTTTGTCGTCATGGCTCTTGTGACTACTGTCGCTACCACTCCCTTGACCAAGGCACTATATCCACCATGGTACAGGGTGAAGCTAGAGAAGTGGAAGCGTGGTGAGATCGACTGGAATGGAAAACCACTTACAAATACGGACTCTGACGGAGCCGCGCCACCAGAAGAACGCCCGAGCTCTAACGTTCGGCGTCTTTTGATTTATCTACGCTTAGACAGCCTCCCGAGTCTCTTTACTTTCATCTCCCTTCTCGGTGAAGAGCACACGCCGAAATCTGCACGTACTTCGGCTGACGAGACAAAGCCAATAATTAGAAAGCGCCCTCTTGAAGTGCATGCGCTGCGTATTGTGGAGCTTACTGAGCGTACCTCTTCGGTGATGAAAGTTACTGAAGGAGATGACGCTTCCCGGAGAGATCCCGTGGTGAATGCAGTCCGAACCTTCTCTTTGCTCAATGAGGTAGCGGTATCTGGCAGCGTTGTCGTTGCCCCAGAGGAGTCTTACGCTGAGACCGTGGCAACGCATGCTTCAGAACAGAGGTCTGACTTTGTCCTTATTCCTTGGAGCGAGGTGGGTAGTAATACGGAGGACCAGTCAATATCATATAAAGTTTCTTCGGAGGATCGCTTTACTGGAAAGGCCCATCTCGATTTCATCCGCAATACACTCACCAAAGCTGTCTGTAACACAGGGATCTTTATAAGCAAAGGGTTCAGTGGTATTGCGCCTATCGAGAAATCAAGTCCTGGGCTCTCTCGCACAACCAGCACTCCATCTATGCGGAGTTATAAGGAAGCTGCCCTCCCACCCATTGCCGACAAGTCACATCACATTTTCATGCCCTACATTGGTGGTGTTGATGACCGAGTAGCTCTGAGCCTCGTTATACAACTTGCTAAGAACCCCAATGTGACGGCAACCATCGTGCACTTGACTCTGACGAATGATGATGATGAGATCACGGCTGCCCCTGAGAGTACCTTGGCAGCAGATCCCGCTGCACTGAAAGCTGAGATAAATACCGAGATTACAGCACAGGACAGCTCTTTTCTTGCTACCACTCGGTCAAGCCTATTATCTATCATAAGTGATAGGATTAGTTTTTCCGAGGTATCCGTATCGAGAAAAACGGCTTCGGGACGCGTCCTTGAAATAGCCTCCGAATATGTTGGGCAGAAGCCTCGCAATGCTGGAGACATTGTCATTGTTGGACGTCGGCACCCTGTATTGCCGGCCTCGTCTCGAGGCCCAGAACAAGCCAGCAACCTTCTTGACATGCAGAGCACAGTCGGCGTGCTTGGTGAGAAGGTAGCCATGAGTAGCCTGAGGGCTAGTGTCCTCATCGTCCAGGCAGCAGACAAGGGTCTTGATTCATGATGAATCATATTACGAGGCACGAATGTCTATGCCCTTTCGATTTATCACCAATATTGTCTTGTTCTATTTCTGATACCTCACTCTCGCTCATACTAGCCGTTACGTTTGGATTTTGCGATGTGGAATTTGATGTCTTGTCACTTTGTAGGATATAAATTGTAGCTATGAGGGGCTAATCAATATAATATAATTGGGATGTGTCTTTTATGATCTCTACACGCGCCTTCTTTCTCCATGGTGCTAGATCGCTCGAAATACCTGGATGCGAGGATCTCTCAGGACGCATCTAGAGCATGTAGAGAGACGTGAGACCTACTCGTCACTGCTTCCGACGCAATTTGAACTTGGATTCGAGATATAGTCGTCTTGGATTCGAGCACGGCTCTTACTATGCTAGCTCAAGTTATAATATAGACGCGTGTAAAAGCCGTCGAGTCTAGAGGTCAAGTGACACTGTTTCCTAACAAGATACTTCCTGGCTACTGTGTTTCACGGCCTATAATATATATACTAGACGTGCTCAATTACTAGCGCAGGGGCTATTAAGCAAAGTTTATTAATATCTCCTTGTCTTTATTTTTTATTTTATTTTTTCTTTCGCATGGTGCGTGATGGGGTGGTTGTGTCGTGACTTCCGTGTAACTTCCACGTAGCATGTCGTTGATTCACGCTTGGGTACCACTCTCTGGGTTATTTCATATACTCTGCCTAGGGCTGTGATGCTGAGTACTATTTGCCTGCTTTCAGAGTTTTAGCACTTTGCGGGTTATGTTACTGGGCGTCTGTGGATTTATCCGGCTGTTTGGGTTTAGATACCCTCGTCCCGTTGTATTGTGTAGAATGTTGAGGGGAGGGTAGTATAGAAGGAACCGTGCTGGATAGAGAGGCCATACTCACGCCGTCTATGCAGAGTTTAGTTAATATCTAAGCTTACCTATGCATACACAGGGTTTATGTATATGAAGAATTAATTGCTGTCAGTTGTTTAGTCAACTCCTTTGCGCTCTTTTTGACTATACCTATCAAGAATTTTTACCGCTTCGGTTGTTCTTTCCCCTTGAGTCATAGTCTATGGAAAGGCTAGAACGCTTCTCGAATAAGGAAGACCCTTGTTGTATGGATCTATCTCTCTTTTCTAAGAGAAATTTCCGTTGTAAGCTCATGACCCCAGCAGTTCATAACAGATCTGTCTCATCCAGGGATGCAATGGTATAAGAGATCTGGTTTCTAACTGTGGGTTTTCAATTTCGAAGTCAGTACAAGGATATTACCTGTCTCTAAGTTCGAAAGGCACCTATTAACCAAGGTAAAGGTGAAAATCTGAACTCCACGTAGAGATTTGAACCTAGATTCTTTTCGCGTTACTTTCGCTAACAAGCACAGTATACATGTATACTATGCAGGGTCCTATTTGAAAGGTTATTTAGGTATATAAATCGCTAGCAGGATATTTCCATATCGTTGTGGAAATCACATGATGAGAAGCTAAGCGCTTCTCGTGTACGAAGATTCCCATAGCACAAGGCATGTCGAGACCCAATCAGCCCTATACATAGTAATCCGGCCTGAATCAGGGTGTGGCTTGGAATCGAAATATGGCGTATTCCCTTTCTCAAATACAAGCATAGTGCTTCCACGATTACAGGTTATGAGGCGAGAGGCAGATGTGGCTACATGAGCTGAAACTAGTAGTGTAGTTGGCGGACGTCCAATCTCAGTAGCGTCCCCGTCAATTCTACGATGGGAAGCGTTAGCTCGTGGTGCAATTAGGCATCTCCTAAGAGGGCTGTATTGAAAACCTTTAGTGATGAATGTCTTTTTGGGCTTAATCCAGCGCCAGCTCACTACCATGGAGACGAAGTCCCAGGTAGGACCGTTCATCAGAAGAGATTTCATGAAAGTGCCATAAGTGTAGCAGGGACATGCCTGTGAGGTTGGGTGTAGATTTCACAGAACGGAGACGGTTTGGGCGCGATCGAGACCACCATGAGGCTTCTAGAAGTCGATGGATAATCCTAGCACAGGTATTCGCCGTCCGTTTAAGAGTAGCGAAATCGTAGTCGGCGATGCCATCAGATGTTTTCCTCAATCGTTCCGTTAATTAGCGCAAGGCCAAGGGGCTAGAGACACGTTCACACGCACTAGAAGAGTAGAATGAAGAGCTAAAACCAGCCTTAAGAAACACATTTCATTGTAGAGGGGTATTAAAACTAGGGAAGTGATTAAACACAGGGATTAAGGATGTCTAATTGACAATTTTGTGAACGCTACAAAAGGGGGTATATTATCCTGAAGCCAAGATCTCTTTTGCGGCTCCCACCAGACCGACACCTCGAGTCCCACGATCCTGGACTCGCAATGACACCGTTGTTCCGTCTATTCTTAGACGTATAACTTCTCGATAGAAACCAAGTCGAGTTCGAACGGGCCTTTCTGCGGGACGAAGGAACATTGCGGGTTATTGCTGGTGCCAAGTTAGTCGACCAAAAGAACCGTGTAGATAGGGATAAATCAGGAAGGAGGAGAAGGAACCAAAGCAATACGGACCACAAGCTGATTCGAAAGTCACTGATATTTGAGAGATCTAGTGGCCTTGTGCCCCGAACCGTAGGTTGGAACTGCTCCCAGTAGATGTCTGCAAAACCTGGCCTTCCCCTGAAGTTGCATTCCCACTCGACTCTGTTCCTTTTTTTCTTTTCGCAACCCCCGGGTGGTTCCATGTCCCGAATCGCAATACTGTATATTTTATCGTCTCCGGCCTCGATGACCAGGCGCAGGCCGACAGAGCGCCAGAGGTCCCATCGGAACCTAGCCGGGGACCTGTACGAGGCGAACCCGGTCGTGACTCCGTGGAAGCGCACTGCTGGTCCTGCTTTCGGAAGGGACAACTGAATCAGGGTACATTCGTTCGTGCCGTCGGCTCTTGCTACGTGGTTATATTCAAATTCTCGCCAGAATTCGATATGCCAGGGCCTGGGGTGGCTGTCAGTTGATTTGTTTCGTGATGATGATAATTTGATGCTACGGGAGTTTCGCTTGCCCAAAATTTGCCGGGGGACTTGAGGCGGAAGAATTACTTACTTCTTGTTTCCGAAGATGGACAAAGACCGATATGGGCACCAGCTTGCGTCCTGCTCGTTGGGGGCTGGCGCCTCCTCAAGGTCCGCCACAGTATCATTCACAGTCATGATGGATGGCAATGATTATTATGACGATATTTATGTAGAGTAGCGAGCTGACTGCCGCTATGCTCGTATCGTTGTTATATTGTTGCTGAGTACACTGGCACGACAGTTTCGTGTTCCGTCAACCCATTGCCTTATATTTCGAAGGGAGGTGGTGAACAGGAGGTGGTGAACACGTCTTATATCATCTCTTCGATTAAGCTTCAAGGCTCGTCCCTTAACCTTCTGCACGAACGAAGCACCACGACTGCACGTTAGAGGTCTATAAGTGCCTCGTCCCTACCTAGGTATCGAATACAGTTGATTACAAGTATTCAGATAAGTCGTAGCTCTTCATCAGCTTCACGTGAGCACATACAGATAGAAGATGAAGAACAAGAGGTAGAGTAGCAAATACCACAGAGACTATGATGATAACATATCTTGGGCTAATGTAAATTCCCGCTATTTCTCAGTTCTTCGAGAAACAAGTGTTCTTAGGGAGTTTCAGCTCTTCATTCAAACCTTATTCTTGTATAGTTCGAGCTTGGGCGGCTGAGTGAGAACCTAAAGTCAGTGTCGACGACCGCGCACCTCGCGCTGCCCAGTTCTTGTGCAAGGAGCCGCAGGCGCACCGCGCCCCCAAAATTTCTACATATAGTAAGAAACTTAAACTTACAATGGCTTCCTTGCTGGTCATGCTTCGTAGATGGGGTCTCAGCATATCTCATTTCAAGATGGCGTCTTGAAGAAGCCGGTTTTTGGGGATCTCATAAAACCAGGCCAGATTGGACCTGACCAGACTACAGGGACATAGCCATGAAACAACCGCCTTCACAGCCTCAAACAGCCGCCATGAAGTGACATTGTGCACCGCCATCTGTCTACCTACCTAGGTAGCTAAACAGTCCATTAAATCCTTCCCCTAATTAGCCGCCGTCCGCTTCACCAGGAATCGCCACAATCACCTTCCTTGCCCCATGTCATAGCCTGGACTGTCGTATAAAAGGTAGTCTAGTTAGAGAATTCGGCTTCCTTATTTGATTAGCCTTGGGCCACGGCGTTTCGTGTCACCACTATGCTTGTATTGGTGGAGGATAACCGGGATCCCTCTACCGACTGAGGGGATCGCTCGAGATGGGATGCCCTACTTAAAGAGAGAAGCCTCGATCGTCTACTCTGCGCTAAATGAGCCAGGTTGTTAGACCATTCTCCGCTATTCGCATCCTCGGGTTCGCTTGTCTTCTCCGCGAAACCAAAGGCTTGCGTAGGCCGTTCATTTCCGCCATCGCAAACTCCGTCGATCAAAGGCCTGTGATGCTAGTCACTACGTATATTTCTGAAGTGAGTTGCGCGTGGAGTCCATCCGCCACCGTACACCTACGGTAGGTAGTGTCACGCACCTAGTGACGTCTTTAGCTCGGGGGGCAGTTGAGAGCATAGGAATAACTAGAGTAAAATCATAGACGCCAGAGCACAACATATGTACGTGTGTAACTACCAGGCGATGGCGGACCTACTGCACCTACATACCCAATCCAGTGATTTGGTCAGTGCTGGACTGGATGGAAAAAAGAAACGAGCGAAAACTGGGGTTGATGGAGAAAGAGGCGCGAGTGATGGGATAGTGTGACAAGCAGTTTATCGTCACTCTCGCGTCAGTCACATGAAAAGAGTTGCGCTAACTGGTTGGTGTCTGGGATACCTGAGAATACGTCACATCTTCATTGCTTTTCCTAGGTCATGTACATGCCACTTCTACAGCATTGTAGAACCACTGCCGGCTTGTCACGATAGATGCTCAAGCAAAACATCCCCGGGATACAACGTCACAGTCGAGAGGTTAGAAGAGTACACCCTCATCCTCTTTGTCGTTCGATCAACCCCAGTTTTGGGAAAGACAAAATCCAAGTCCCTTGTCAAGGACCCTTTTTGGAGAAAGGGACTTTTCGGCCGCATTTTCCTTCGGTGCGACGCCAGTGCCTCGGACTTGATGGAGTTGGGCATGAAAATAGCTTGGGGGTTTTGGCCTTGGCGATTTGGACGATGGCGGAAATTCCCACAAGCGGCTGAACAAGTAGGCTCGTTTAAAGTGCTGATAGCAGCAAAGTTTCGCCTCCCCCCCCCCCTCATAATAGGACAATTTAACACCTTTGAAACCAAAAAAAGTGTACTATATATAACAAAAGTAATTATGCACCAAACATAGCCATAGAAAGACGTAGCTAATGCGAGGAATTTCATTCTAGTATCTAGCGTCTATGCATCATCTGAGCGCTTCCACGCTCAATCATTCAACATGCTTAGGTTACACGTCCTAGAGGATGAGGCCAGATGGACAAGCAAGCCCACGCTTGCAAAGCATTGCCTCTTCCTCGAAAAGGCTGGCACAGCCAAAGCACCAGAGGTCTAGTCTAGCCTTGGGCCCCTAAATATAGCGCGGGCGGGACTAGACATAATGAAGCTAGGTAGGTAGGTTAGGATCTTGTTCTTCAGCGAGCGTGAACCATACCTATCCCAAACTCCACCCCACGTTCCTACGCTAGCTATCGTATACGGACGATAACTAGGTACGGGGTGGGCTCCTACCTACGCTTTCCTGGCAGGCAAAAGACAGCCGTTCCTCGAGGGGGGGAATAAAATGATGGAGGGAAAAACAAGACTAACCTACATGTGGACATTTCAATACGGCCGTAGGGCACAGTGGAGTAGATAGATGGTAAGGCTTGACGAGAGGAGAGACTGCATATGGCACTACTTGGGCCTTGGCCTGTTTTGTCTCGAGAGTCTGAGACTATGATGTACTTACTTGCTTTGCGTACTGACTGAATTGAGGCACGTACGTACGTAAGTAAGTAGAGAGAGGACAGAATACGCAGGTTGATGCTTATGTACCCTTACTTAATTCAGAATTTCAAGGTTATGGGATCCGAAATACTGGAATTGGGAGAGAAAATGCATGTAGTCGCTCGCTCGCAAAGCCTCTTGGAAAGGAATGGGCAGGGCTCACGTAGCCGGGAGCCGGCAAATACCGTGCTAATGGCAGACGAGAACGGGACAAACCTCCCCTCCCCCTCTCCCCACTCGTCACCGTCGCCGGTCGTCCTGCTACGAGATAAACCCGAGTCTATATGTATGTGTACTGACGATAGTAGATAGCGCATGTGCTAAAAGGGATTTGGGCGGGAGACCCCGGCGGCACGTACCTACTACGTACGTAAGTAGTGCTTGTGCTTGCTTGTTCTATCTCGTTCAAATCTTTCCCGCTGTGGCTTTGACTCTGTCTTGGGGGGGTTTAGGTTTGGTCTAATATTCCAAGGAATGCTTTAGCCGAACTCATCACATTCGCGCTATCTAGCTAGGTAGAGAGAGACAGGGCAATCCAAGTCTAAGAGCTGCTGAGGCCCACCACCCATTGTTGGGACAAGGGCCAATGATGGAGCTTGGGATCTGCGGTCTACTCTCCTTTTCTGGACTTTCGTGGCCAAGTGTTTGAGGTGATGGGCTGCGGGCAAGGGAGACTCCTCGGGTCATGAGAACAATACTGTTCGGTACCATAACTTTGGTACAGTTACCCCAAGAAGTACAATAGCTCCACTTAAGGACGAGTACACATGAGAAGCCACAAGCCTAAGAGAAGGAAGCATGGTACGGTTTGTTAAATTTGTATTCTTTCATTCATTTGAGCGATCGATACAAGTCCAGCAGCTTCCGCGAGGAAGCTTCATCATCATCTATGTATAGTGTGTAGAGATTTCCTCCCCTAAGAATAACAATGAACCACGCTTTGTCTTGGATATATATGCCCCCGGGAAATAAAGTTCCAATACGATCGGAAGGCAGAGCACTTCGCCTTTATGCAAGCAATTTTGCGCCAGCACTCCGGAATTTCCAACGTCAATAATAAAAATGATATAAAAAGCCTTCCCAGTCTTTCATTCCCAGCCAGTGTTATGCAACCCAATTCATGCGTTATCGTCTCGCATCACAGCGCACAGGCCCAAGTAGGCACCTGTCCAAATTCGCTGTTTACATCGTATCTCCTCCCAGTTTTCTTCGAGTGTTCAGTCTTGTTCATACGTGATGTGGTGCTGTGCCCGGTGATCCAGGCATCGACAAGGGTGTCGCCGGGTAGTCATAACCAGCCTCGGAACAGTTCGCTGAGTGATCGAAGGAGTGAGAGAGTGGTGGTGTCTGGCAGCAACACCGATCAGCTACGTGGGTGACGGTGAGATTGATTGCGCACATGACTCACATGAGGGTTCGAGTGGTCGTAGGGGCCAGGTGCATTCACTTCCACGGGCATATAGTAGTTCATGTAGGGAGACATGGGCTCTTCCCCGGGGTACGTTTCCCTCTTAATAGCATCATTGAAATGCGTCAGGGGTGGTAATGTGCAAGGGACGGAAGATGCCATGTAACTGGGGTAGGCCTCCGCGGTGGTCATGGCATGGTAGGGCTGGGCGGCACTGTAAGGTGTTCCCATGATCTCATCGGGAGGAGGATAGTTCGAGTAGACGAAAGGAGGCGTGTTAGACCGTTCACGGTCGTCATAGGGATGTTGGAAGAGCATTTCGTCGTCGGTACTCATAGGCGGAGTGTATTGGGGTGGGTGTACTGGCTTCTGGGCGGTTGTGGCGTTTGACTTTGACCCCTTTGAGTTCTTCTTGGTGCTCCTGCTGCCGGACTGTGTCTGCTTCTCAGGTGCGTTGGGAGGCGATGATCCCTCATCTGATGAACCGGCACGTCTCTCTAGATCTTCCAAGCGTCTCTTGAGCTTCTTGCCTAGAAAGGAGTCAGCATATCGTTTGGAATGATACTAAACTAGCTAGCCAGCCACATACGGTAGTTGCGCTGAGCAATGCGGTTCTGTATCCTGCGGCGTTCGGCAAGGTCTGATATCTTGGTCCAGTCCTCATCCGGGTTGGCGGAGCTGGAGAAGGCAGAACTTGTTCCGTGTGCCGAGTATTGCCTGGGTGCCGGAGCGGCAGCGTAGGCATATTGGTGTTGAGACATGGTGTACATTGGAGCCGACATGAGCCACCACCCAGTTGTGTGGTCGTCCGATGTCGAGAGGAAGCTGTGAAGGTGGTGATAGCTAGGCTATGAGAAACCAAGTGAGGTAGTCAAGGTAGCTGTGTGATTCCTGGATGAGAGACAGCTTGTTGTGTTCTAGGTCGAGATGACTTCAACACTAGTATTATATAGTTAGCCAGATAGAAGCCTTGGTGGTGGGACATGGACAGCAAGAGGGCGGGAGCAAAGGAATATATAGAAGGAAGCTTCCTTCGGTCATTACGGCAGTAGGCTCGCGGTGCTATGCTGGCTGTGCCATCTTGTAGTCGACACTACGCCATGCCAAGTACCCCGGTAGCCTTTGCGTGTAGGGGAGGCTTCGAAGTACACGACCCTTGGTACAGCCGGTTGTACATTGTTCATTGCCATTGCCATCATGGCCCTTGGCTCATGGCCCTTGGCTCATAACCCACGGCCCATGGATGATAGGGCCCATGGTCGAAGGTCCCCGTCGCGATGCCACGAGGGTACGTACCACTGTCTCTGCAGACAGGGGGCCCCTAGTCGGGCTACAGACAGGCATGTCGCTGCGAGAGCATACATACATAATATGCAGCCGATTCCAGGTCCGCCTTTTGGGTGCAACGTTGGGACAGCCAAGAATCCGCCCAGTGCGAGGTGACCCAAGGCCGCAATCCCAGGACAGACCCAGGACAATCAGTGCCAGGATGCCTGCGCTCTGCCTGCGCGCTACCACCACCACAGTTAGCGCAGGCTGGGTAGGTAGGGGCCAGACAAGCAGGTGGTGTGTGCCAGACAGACAGACAGACACAGACAGACAGTTGGCCGGCCCATGGTGTGTGTGTGTCCATGGTGTACCGTAGTTCTGCGTCGTCGTCGTCGTCGTGTCGTAGGTAGGCAGGCTGAGCAGAAAATCCAAAACAAAATAGGATAGGATAAAATGCTCAAAGCACCGCATCCAGCCTAGACGTAACCGGGCAATAGCCTGCCTGAGCCTGGTGCAAGGCCGGTTGATGCCTATCTAAGTAATACCACCTACTTATGCTATGTATGTATGTATTATGTTCAGCGGTGACAGTGGTGACGGTGGTCTGTCTTGCGGTGCTTCAGTGATCCAGTAGAGCGCTACATACCTAGGTACCTACCTAGCATAACCTCTTAACCTTAGTTACCTACCTTAATTCTATTGTGCCTACCTGGGTACTTTATCCTATATAACCTATTACCACATATGTACCTAATGTACCTACCTATGTATGCTTAATTCTAATTAACTGCTGTCAAATACTAGGTAGATAATATGTACCGTACGTTACGTAGGTGCAGGTCAAATCCATTAAAGCAGCGACTATCAACCCCATCAGAACATCGAAACAGTCCAGTCCATACAAAGGATGACCTCTGTAGATTGGGAGATACCTAGATACCTAGATACCTACCTACGTACCTACATAGGTACCGAGATAATGTGGCCTGTGTACTTACATGTACCTTGGCACCACTGTCTTGAACGCATTGGCGGCTTGTAGGGCTGTTAGATGCCCACCTTCTCCTCCTCCTCCTCCCGCCTCCTGTCTCCTGTCTCCTATTTGCCAATATACTTACTTACTTACTTACTTACTATGTACTTAGTTTAGTTCCTACCTGCTATACGCCTTTGCCCTCTGCCGATGACAAGACGTGGGCTTCTTTAGTCTAGGCAGTCCGAGATATCATTGGGGGGGAAGACATGGCCATGCCGTTAGCCATGCGCCGCAGCGCAAATAGCTCTCGTGATTCTACGGCAAATTGTGCGCTCGGGTGGCATTTCTGATATGATCTGGTCTACATACCTAGGTAGGTCAAGGTCGCGTCTCTTGTGTGGCTTGTTGTAGATTGTAGATCTGGCCATTTTGGCTCACCTCGTGGTCTCTCAATGTAGCGAGATTTGATACACCCGGAAAAGGAAGGCAATCTCTGTTTCAGACATGTTATCTGGGTGCATTGTATCAGAGTTTCATGAAGGGAAGTCGATAAATGCCCCGTCTAAAGTAGGTGCTACACACAGTACATCCCATACAACCTCGTCCTCCCCTCGTCCTCCGTACGGCGTCCGAATACTGCCCGACAGTTTGTCTGTACAGCATGTTTCTCCGCCTGATGGTTTCTAATGATGATAGTGGTATGTTGTTGTGTTAGGAGGTCATGTTCAGGACAATGTGCTATCGTTCTTCAGCCTATAATATCACGCATGGTAGGTAGGTATTGCAATGCATATGAAGCTAGGCAAGTACGGTACCTAACATGCTGCTGCGGCCACCACTGTTAGAAGCAAGTAGCGACGGTCATAAAAGCAGTCCTTCTTTTTGATATAGAGCAAGTTATTTGATTGGCATGTCGTATCCCAAGTAGACAGAAGTGGTAACGGCGCGCCCAACTACTGTAGGTAGTGGTATACTAATGTAGAGCCCCGTTGCGGATATCGTCAAACCAACGCCAAGTATCCGTAGTGACACTTGTCCCGCCTCTTTTTTTGTTATTTTATTTTTATCATTGGTGTTTTGCCCTCTGGTCGTTGGTGTGGCTGGTCTCTTCAATGTTCACCAAGCTGGTCAAGCCATTCTCTTCGACCCGTGATCCTGGTCTACCAAGTCGGTAGGTAGATACTAAGTAAAGACGCAACGGCGTGTGCGGCGAGCTAGTAGCGTATGATAAGAATACCGACCTATTGCACCCCGTCATAACGTCTGGACCCCTGGGTAACTGAACAATGCCATGCAACTTCCGGGGGGAACAGGAGACGAAGACGCGGTGTGGTTCTGAGTCAATAGGCTATTCAAATGAAGGGGCGAGAGAGAGTGTGGGTGAGCGAGTTGTGTGAGTGCGGTAATGGGAATGGCGAACTCGTGTATCAACTGGGGCCCGCTGATTAAGTCCGTCTATTTTTGGGAACCCGAATTACCAATCGTCGAGTCGGATCTTCACAAGGCCCCGGTCAAGACCGGCTGGTACTCTCCTAGGGCTGGCGGGTCCCAGGACCGCCTCCCCCTCTCAGAGCCCCCTCCTCTCTCTCTCCCCCCAAAGAACTTCAACTGCCAGGCTCATTTTGTGCCGGCAGTGCGCTACACGGGACCGTCCCTTTCTTAGTTCTGACCACCTAAATCCGCTAAGCCAACACTTGAGAAGATACCTTTATAGTAGTGGCTCATCAACGAGGTGTTTGTTGTCTGCTGTGACGAGCAGATTTTATGGATCTTAGAAAACTGGACAGAGCCGGAAGGGTTTCGCGAGCCAATGCGTACAGTGCCTTGCCGATTCTCCGTTCAGACGTTCTGCCCCGTTCTGCCCTATCCATTGGCAATACCGTGTGAAGCACTGCCAGCAAAGCCAACTTGAATACTTAGACTTTGTTCAGGTATTCTTCTCACCAGCGTCTGTGATATTTCGACTATAATGTAGATAGTGTGGTGAATTCACGCGGCACTAACCGTCCAGACAAACAGACCTTACTCAGAATGGAACTATGGTACCTTCGTGAATTGGCCAAGAGGACCAAGAGAACCCAAGTTCAAAAAGTAGGTCAGACAGACAGCGACAATCCTGCCCCCCATCGTTCGTTTCTACAGTACCTAGTTCAGGTTTAGATTCTGACCGGGGTTGTCGTATATTGTCCGCTGAGATGCATAAACATGCCACTAACCGTAGATCGGAGCTCGGTTTGACGTTCTTCTCAGCCTTAGGTAGGTACTGTATCTCTCTTGTTCCATCCAAGCTATGGAAAACCATTGGGGGTGTGTCCCATACCCACTCCGTCCAGAGTTCCGTCTAATGTCCCTATTCTCGGAGATGGAGCGATCCTTTGAGAACCCGGTCCATAATAACCCATATAATTCCGGGTTGGAGGACGGAACGAGATTAGTTGCCAGGCCCGAAGAATTCTGTGTTCGCCTATCAGTACACCACACTACACTCCGATGGTGCCCTACGGTGCAAGTGTTTCAGTGCCATGTGCTATTCTGAGTGCTGGCGCCAGCTAGCGCAGGCGGCACTCTGTTAGTGCCCGCCAAGATAGTCTCTGTGGAATGTCGGACTCGCTTCGCCTTGGCTCCGCCCCTCGTTATTCACAAGGCGCTACCGAGTTGGGTGGGTGTTGTGATGTCAATTCTCACGATGTTGATACCTGTATACTGGATATGTACTAACCTAGAGTATTGTACGGTAGGCGTATGGGTAGGTAAGTATATGGGATGAATTAATCTGTGCCATCGTAGCCCCTGAAACAAAACACCGTCCGTAGGTCTTTTCCTCTGCCTGGTTGCCTGGTTAGGTATGCTCTAAACATCTGGTGGTGTGTTACCCATCTTCGATACGGACAACGTCTTGATGTGATTCCTCGCCCTGCCAAGTACGTGTGCTCATTTACATCATTAACGCGATGGAGTTACCTATTTGACACATGGATACTGATGATATGCGTTTTGGCAGGGCATCTGATAAGCACGATGAGTTGCTGACATCGGACCGGCCAGTCAACCAGTCAGATCTCTTTCCAGTGCAATGGGCCGGCAGCCACCAAAACCCGTGAGGTTGGTCCGCCCACCCTTCTCGAAGCATGTCTTTCAAGGCATCATTCTGGCCGACTAATAAGGTTCTCACGCCAAGACCACCGAGTCCTTCATTTTGGTCACTGTACGCTGCTGCTATTGCTGGTGATACTAAGTTCACCTAAACAACTCCTTGCATATCCCCTACCTATTCCTATGCGTAATCCAAAAATATCTCTAGCTGTACTTTAGCGGCATTGCGTAGTTATTCTTGCCCCGGGCGATATGCGCCAGATGGCTACACGTATTTCCATTTCACTATCACTCAAGGAAAGAACAGCAACATGTGAGGAGAACTCAAGTAAACGCTTGAAACTGCTAAGTCAGTTGAGAAAGTCGGAACTTTGGTGGAGGGCCTGAGTTTAGCGGCATTAGTGCCCAGGCAGTACCCAGACATGTGAATGATATCACCGACGATCCCGACGACTTGGGACGAGAGGCTAGTTCGCTCTCTCCAACTCTCTGATTTCAATGTGCTCTCGATGCCGCAGAAACCGTAGTCAGCGCACATGGCATCTCCCTACCCAGAGAAGGATTGTCCACGGGGTTGGATGACACGCCAGCACATGGAGGCGCAGTAGTAGGATTCACGGCAATCTGGCAACACTCGGTGCAATATCTAATTTGAAGTATTGTATCATATGTGGTGGGCACAACAAAGATTTCGTCTGAAGTCGAGACACACAGAACCGTTCGATAGGGCCACAATGATATGGCCCCCATCTTCCCCAGGGAATCCTTCCGAAAATTACATCCAACGGCATTAAGGAGATACTGTCGCAGAGCCCTGGAAGCTGACTGCCACGCGATATTGGCTGACAGTGGGTTGAGAATCCCCCAGGCCGATTGCCTGTGGAGCCCTGATGTTAACTACCTGCACTGCAGACCGTATAGCGTATTAAAGGCCAAGCACACAGAGATAGGAATTACCTAGGACTTTTCGACTACGGTGTGTGGACACCTCCTATGGTCGTATGTGCCGTAAACTAGCAGTCGATTTATTAGCAATAGGCTATCAGCCAAATGAGTTACGACGACTGGAGCCTAAGAATACCTCCCTACACTACATATAATACTATACTTACTATAGTGGTCTGAGTACCGGGTAGTGTTGGTTAGTCGTCGCACCAAGCCGTGTTGCCCTGAGTCCTGATGATCGTTATACACACAACACAACAGACTAACTAACGTTGTCAGTAATGCATTGCGTGCTATCTCTAAGGCAGCGGGGCGTTTTTGTCGTTTGGAAACCCAATTACCCCTTTGGGAAATTCTCGGTAGACTCGTATACGCTAGACCCGGTATGTATGTAGTTTATCCCCACACACATGGTACAGTACCTATGTAGGTCGCGTACACTTGAAGAAGCATCGTCTCGAGGTATCGACAAAATGCACTGTATTATCCTTTGCATCCGGTAAAGACCCTGTGCGGTAGATGGTCCGCTACTGTAGGTGATATCGACTTCGACGTACTGGTAAGGTGCACGTTGTGCGAGCATTGCACAATCAATAAAAGAAGAAGACCCTGCAGAGATCCCATCATG